ACTTGTAAAATGTAAAATATATCTGGTGGACACAGCTACACAACCAACTCTTGCACGATGCAGTTTTGTATGCGCAACATCACATCACAACGTGTGCCCGCTGTTGCTGTTGTTGTTGTTGTGCTCGTGATGTTCAACTGCACACACACACCTGGCACCTGGCAAACAACACTACTTCCATGCCGCCGGACCATGCGCGCACGCCTTGCGCACTGCTGTATACTTCAGATAAGGGTTTGGGTGTGCCAGGTTACGTACGTGTAGTTGCGTAACGCTCGCTCTTCTTGTAACCTGAGGCCTTCAAAACAGCCGTATCGATATCGAGTATGTATGTATGTACTCGGTACGTATCGAGCCATTTTCGGGATATCGAACAAAATATATACCGGTATTGGTGTTTTTTTCTCGATACGATGGCGTATTGTATCGAACCCTTCTGCCCGACCAATATCCAACACTGATTCATTCATTCAAGCACGCAAGTCTGAGTTACTTGCGGCGGTACATATATATCCTTTCATACACGCAAGTCAGAGGCACTTGCGACAACTACCCGATGCATAATATTTCCGAGCACGCAAGTCTGAGCTACTTGCACTATGACATATTTATTTCTGGAAATCTAGGTTGTTATGCAGATTATTTCTGGATATGAAACACAGAACATCAACCATGTCTCCATATTCCGAGTATGACAGAGACCATACGGAATTTTACCTACTACTACATGACATAGCGACATTTTTTTTTTTTGTTCTTCACTTCAAATCAGCGCTCACAGCACTAAATAGTGCCGTTTATTCCAACCCGTGGTCACACAGAAGAGCCTCTCTCTACCCTCCCCTCCTGCGGTACTTCGCCTTCAATTTTTATTGCGAGAAGAGTTCAGCACTCTCTTCCCTCTGTGTACACACGAACTAGCGCTATCCACTTACTTGGCCAGGAGGAGCGGAAGCGAGAGAAAAACTCACTTTGCAAGAAAAGCTCGCCTACGCCGGGATTCGAACCCCTGACCTGACCTCTATCTAGCTAGAAGGTTACGAGGCTACCAACTAGACATTGACAATATTTGAACTAGTCAAACTGACTACCTAATGCTGAAGCTACGGTAGTGCGAATATTCCAACAAGGCCAATCAATGTGAAGACAACAACAACAACAACAACAATGTGCCCTTGTCAACCAGCGTACCGTATAGATTGCACCCTTTGTCATGCCCTCAGGCTGACTCTTATGGCTCCCCATAGTTGGCCCAACGGATTTTTTTGGACAGGCATACCCCCCCCCCCCGGATTTCGACCAAAAGACAGACCTCTCACCACATCACCACAGAGTTCTCCCTCCATGATTGTCGGGTCGTCACCAGAACTTGAAGGCTGTACGCACCACACCTGTAGGCGTCTTTGAAGCTAGTGGTGACTGCTGTTGGGTCTGTGTGTGCTGAGAAATGTCAATCCATGTAAGCAAAAGTAAGAATCCGTGTGGAGAATCCGTAGGAGATTCTAATGTAAAGGGAATCTTGCGTTTCTGAATAATATATATATGTGACAAAAAAAATGGCCCGGCTGTTTTTTTTGAGTGGATAACATTATTGGGTCTCTTGTCTTTTTGCTGTTTTCATGGTGCTCCATGGTGCTCCATGGTGCACCATGAAAACATGTTCATGGTAGTCCATGGTGCTCCATGGAGCACCCAAACTTTTGTCCATGGTGCACCATGAACATTCCCATGAACATGTCCACGTCTTTGTCCATGGTGCTCCATGGAGGTCCATGAAAAAAACTAATAAAAGAAAAGTTAACAATTCAAGTGCTCCATATGGATGGTGCTCCATGGTGCTCCATGGGGAAAGTGTGAAACACTTTACAAATCAAGTGCTCCATGGTGCATGAAAAAAAAAAAAAATGGTGCTCCATGGGAAGAGTGTCAAACATTTTACAAATCAAGTGCGCTCCATATGGTGCTCCATGGTGATGCTCAATGGTGCTCCATGAACATGTTCACGGCGTGACTCAATAATGTCAAACCCCTTTTTTTTTATCACGGTCACGATTTTTGTTGTTCCGCTCGCCGCTCAACGAATCTATGCATATATATGTGGGGTGTCACAAGAATCACAGGCGAGAGAGAGACAGAGCGATAGAGACGATCAGACTGAGACCGACAAACACAGACACAGATAGACGTCGAGCGGGAGTACAAGAAGCAGGGTGCAAAACTAGACCGTTCGGGAGAGGCTGTGCATCAGCCCTTTGTGTGTGCTGGGTGGGGCTGATGGGCCTTTTCTCTTGTTCTTCAGATAGATAGGTCTTCTTTTGCCTGCACGCAGGGAAACTTCAGGCGAATTGGACGGGTGTGCCATGCATTCCCAACCATCGTATCAGAAAACCAGAGCCAAACTTATTTCGGCTACATAAACAAGATAATAGTTATGATTTCCGGGAAAGTGCCAATACAGTGTGCAAAACCAATTAGTATCTCGAATGGGTAGTCTTTCCGTGTGTGTTTTTATTATTCCTTAATTTAGTCTCGAACCACAACAACAACGCTGCCCGCCACCTTGCACGACAGGGGTCCGGAGGTAGCAGGTGCTCTCAGGACTATCACCCACCAAGCTTTGCCACCGTGGTGGCCTTGTCATATTCAGCGCGGGATCCCTGTCAGGGTTTCTTTTTCTGTCGCTCGTCAGGGTTTTCTGTCCCTCGCTCGGTCTCTCTGTTCGGAATCTGGAATTGACAGAGAGAGCTAGCTGCTGCCTGCTGCATCATCTTCTCCAGCCGCGGGCTTGAACCTTCTTCGTGTCTCCGTGTTTCCGGCGGAACGAAACCGCTATGCAAGGTGCGTGGCTATGCGAGAAATGCTGAAGGTAGATCTGCCTATTATAGTTGGAGTTGGCGTCTAACAGGTTCACGCCCCCTGCTTCATGTATGTGTGTAGGTTGACAACAACTCTACATACATACGACGGGCTTTTTTCACCAACAGCTTCTACAGCAGGTCCAACGTTATGCTTTGCCGTGCAACCTATCGATCTATGCCCATGCAGCAAGTGGACTAATGCATACATGCAATGCACGACGTGTAAACCCCAGCCCCCTTTACTCGCTTGGCAGCCTCTGCTTGTAGCCTCTGCTTGACATCGGACACATGGGAGCAAAAGCGAATCCCAAGTGCATTTGCACAGAATCCGTCTCCTCGGTATGCATCTCCCTGTGCATTTCCACACATGAGCAAATAAATACCCCGTTTGGTTGCCGCTTGCTTCCTACAGAGTACAGACCGTGGGGTCCTGAAGCATGGGCTCCTCGAGCCGTACGCTCATCCATTCTGTGAGGCGTGTGTCTATGTCTCTCCTCGCTGCGTTTGGGGTCGACTGAAAGGCAACAGGCGGTCACGCTTGCAAAAGAGAAAGAACAAATGCGAAAGCTATTTAGGTCACAGAGTTGATATTGAAACTGCTGTACATTGTTGTTGTTGTTGTTGTTGTTGTTGTTGTTGTTGTCTTCACATTGAAAACCGTTCCGATCTCTCTCTAACTAATACCTTCATATGTCCGTACAAGTACTGATCCAACACTTGACGCGGTCGATTCCCATGGTCACAGAGTCACAGGCTAACTTACCCTAGAAAGGTACGCTCAAACAAACTGGTCCCGAGGGATCCCCCAAGTCAATACAAATCATCAACAGATATTCTGGAGTCCTCCGCTCCCTCTGCGCGCTATGCGAGGTAGTAACAACTGAGACTAGGAGTCAGCAAACAGGCCAGAGAGAAAGAGGTATACCCCCTTGGTTCAATCTTGGTGCTTGACCCCGCAAGCAGAGACAAGGCCATCTGGCACAGAAAAAGGAGGAAAAAGGGCATCGATCATCGTAGATCAACAATATATTATTTCTTCTGAGGCCACAATCGGGGCGTGTGTGTTCGTTCCATCTATTCTGGAGCCGGTTTTACAGGCCTTTCGTTATTTCCGGCTGTGTGCACCTGTAGTGCACTGCTGTCGGGCAGCAACAAAAAACCGTGGTGTCAAAGTTTCTATCTACCGGGTTATTAGTCCACAGCAGTCCGTCTTTCCAGACCGTCAGAGTTGGGGGTATGCAGAAGTGCGCTGTGTTCCGTTTTCACGGCATTCTTTCGGGCGTTCAACAGCTCGATTTTCAGAGACGAACGAATGGGTAGTCTTTCTGTTTGTGTTTTTACTATTCCTTGAGTAAATAACATCCCACATGCCATGCCCTCTACACACCATGCCCACCATGTATCGTAGGTAGCGCAGCCAAAGAGAAGAGCAGGACAAACCTCGCAGCAGCAGTTAGTTGAGGAGTAGTTCTTGCTGCAGTACGGACCCCAGGGGGGAGAGATGAGGGGAGGCGGTGACATCACACCTCGGAATAATTGCTGGGGCTGCAATTTTGAAAATTTGAAACTTGCATGCTTTCTTCAGGGAAATCCGTCGAGTGCAACCGGTCAGGTCTGGGGTCCTCATCCACATGTATGTATATGTGCATACATACAAAATCGGAAAAATTACTACAAGTAAGGGTGTGTCTTATCAGGCCGCAAAAATTCGTAACTTTTTTCACCGAATAGTAACTTTTTTCACGGAACCGTAACTAGGGTTTCCAGTGGTTCTTATCGGCAGAAGGCGCGAAGGCGCGTATTTTTCAAAAATTACGGAAAGCGCCACGGCTCGACGTACACACACCGGTCCCGACCAGGCGAGAGACCCGAGGACTCCCACAACAGACGTTATACACCCACACCATGAACAACAACGCCGTAGCAGTGGCAGGCCGGCCATCAAGAACGAAAACGGTGCCTCTGCGACTGCAGGGTGGAGGTGAAAGTGGTGCAGCTGCTGGGCATGGTGTTGCCCAGATCACGCCTGCTGGCGCCGTACAGCTCCAGCCGGCACCGAGCGGCATGGTCCGCCAGGCCGTCCACAGCAGGGTTACCCCCCATACCGATACACAACAGGGGGTGCCACCTGGCGCGGGGCTGATGCCGGGCTTCATGGACGGTGAAGGTGCTAAAGCTCGTCAGGTGGCCATAAGAAAGATTCTCGACGACAAGCAGTTTGGCGAAGACCCAGGGAAGAATTGGAGCGAATCGGAGAGCAGCGACGACGACAACGGGAAGGACGCTCCGATGTCAAGTGGCAGCAGCAATAATGTGTCGGTAGAGGAGAGTACAGCTCCGTCGGACATAGGCTCACAGGAGTCCGGAGATGTCGATTCCGGAGATGTCGAGTCCGGAGATATCGTGTTCGCAAAGGAAATACGGGAAGCAACATTCGGGGGAGGGGGAGCGGGCAGAAAAAAAAACCATGGCAAGCGGAAGGCGAGCGCCGGCGGCAGCGCCGTAGGGAACATGAACTCAACAAAGGCAAGCCTAGGAGCGAGTGCCAAGAAAGCCCGGGGCAAGGACTACCCGCTCTGGGCCGCACATCTGCTGAGGAGGACATGCGCGCACCGCAAGATCCCGAGGATGTCGAAGGAGGGCGACAAGCATGTCCTGGTGCAGGCCCTCCGATCTCACGACGGCAACATGAACCGGCCATGTCCGTACTATGACGACCTCAATGCTATCACAGCCGGTGAGATGCTGGTATTGTGTAGATTCGTCGTCGATGAGAGTCACAGCAGACGGCACAGAGTATTGAGTAAAAGTATAGGTAAGTATGCTGCAGTCGAACGCAGTGTGCGTAAAGGTTACAAAACAAAATTACTGCTTTGTGTGTATTATGTAGAATGCCCGCTTCAAATCGACCTGTTCGTACAGTAGAAGGTACGGCATGCTCGAGAGCTGTTTTATTTGCCCCAGTAAGTGGGAAAATGAAGGCACGCACAGCGTACTACCAGGCATGCTTTGTCGACGACAACTGGTGGTGCACGGACCTAAACGCATAAGCTTTGTGTGTTCTGTCCTCTCACGCTCAGAGGAATGTCTAGAGTTGAACGATTTTTTTGTGGAGTACAGCATGAGGAATATGTAGTTTTGCTCCGGTTGGGGGTGTACACCCGAGGCGTCCTCTCATGCGAAGGCTTATTCGTTGTGTGGGCCGCTTTCTCCTATCCCCAATGTTCGCGCAGGCAAATCTGGACGCAGAAACGGGGAGGAGGACGAGGAGGAGGGAGCCATTCCTGCCAAAGCACTCCTTACGTTTCGAAATGTTGTCGGGATGGTCGCCATAGCACGTGACAGTAACGTGCCGTTTCAAGTCGATAATGTGGAGTACAGTGTGGCGGACCTTTACGACGCCCTGGCCAAGGAAGACGAAGCGGGAAAGGGGGATTCTGCGGGCGGGAGTACTCCCACTGGTGGTTCATCGACGGGCGGTGCAGCCGGACCGGACGGGGATGGTTCCGTCGGAGGGAGCGGCAGCAACACGGAGCGCAAGGGCCCACACTGCATGATGCGGCTCGTTGGGATCCTGTGCGAAGACGCCATCCGCCCACTTCTCATAGAGAGCCGCTTGCAGGCGACCCGGCAGGACCTGGACACCTCATCAGTCGGGCCGCGGAACGAATTGTGGACAGAGGTCACCGCGCGCTTCCGAGACCCTGACCACCAGGTACACGGTCATGGGTAGGGGGATTGATTAGGACGGATCGGCCGAGAACGTTGTACATAGACAGCAGTCGAAGTGTATGTTGACACGCATGCCTTTTTTTTGTGGTCATTTTACCCATCGTACTCAACACCTCATGACGTCCACGGACGATCGCTGTTGTTTTAGGTAAAAAGCCATGAGGTATCCACCCCCAAGAGCGGGTCAACCTGCTGTTGACGTACACCGGTAACTTATGGTGTTGTTACTGACGCCGACGACGATCATACTGCTGTAGTTGCTTCGAAACCTTCACCTATTGGTGGAAGACGTAGAAAACGCGCAGAAGAATTCCACAGGAGTGCATAGCCAAACAATATTACACGACAGAAAAAAATAACACTGCAGAAGCAACGCTAAAATACAGGCCGGGATCAGGCAGACAGTACTAAGCTTCCCGCGAGAGGTGCATTCCCCGTTCGGTATGTTGTTTTTCTTCGTATCAAAATCGTGTTAAATTCCTCGCACGCCCGGGCGGTACTCTATGTAAGTTTTTTTAAAGAACACGTGTATGATCTGCGCTGCCCGCTCCCTCGCTCTCTCGCTCTCTCGCTGTATGCATGCCCCATATATGGGTGATGATGTGGACGTTTTTAAGGTGAGAAAAATCGTGGACGACGAGCAAGTGTCTCACGTCGACCCGAACATCATCCAGCAACCAAACATCTCGGCGGAGAAGCTTTCCAGGATGTGGGCTACGGCAAAGGCGAAGTGGAACCAGCCTTATGCCAACTGGAAGAGTGAATCCGGCAACAACCAGCCATGGCTTTCATTTTGTCAAGGTAAGGGATGGGTGGAATGGGGCCTTGTATAAAATAGCGTATGTTTGCTCGAGGAACCTTGGGCGATTTTGTGGTCGTGGCATAAATTCCGCCCATCCTTCACAGCGTGCAAGTGCTGCTACGGTCGGAGTTTTGATGTGATACTTGGAGTTATCGGCAGTGTTGTAAAACGTGCTCCAGGGATGACGTTGGCATTGAGGCCTGATGGTGTATTTTGAAGCACGACGAAAGACCATACCAATTGGTCCAAAAAAAACTCCCGCCCACGCCTTGCATTTTGTTTTTTTACAGGGTGCACGGACACGTATGTTCTCGGTTGCGCAATCGAGAAATACCCCGAGCTGAACCAAGTGTGCAACAATCTCCTCCCCGAGGGCGCTCAGCGAGAGGACGACGGGACCGGAGAGGGCATTGTCGGCACAGGCGGTGCCGACCGCCGGGCGGCCGCCAAGCGGGAGGGCGCCAGGCTCCACGAGCAGAACAGGCGGGGAAAAAAGCAAAAAAACAAGGGGGTGGGGCAAAGCGTGGCAGAGGCTACGTCCGCTGCCATGAAAACCGCAATCAAAGATATGGAGCCACTGCTGGAAAAGGTTGGCGGATCAGAAAAATCAGAGTGGTACAAAAAAAAAGAGGAACACGCTTGCAAGACTGCTGAACACGACAGCAAGGCTTCTGGCCTCGCCCTCCAGAAGGAAATGACCGAGTCCCACGCCGAATTCTCGAAGAAAATTGTGGAGGAGGAGAAAGAAAAAGAAGCGGGTTATCAGACGAGAGTTAGATTCCTGCGCAAAATGTTGGCCGGCATCGAGAAGGAAATGTTTGGCGACGAATAACACCCATATGCACTCCCGGAAAAGTGTTACCGTGCAATCGTCGAATTTTATGCATGCGTGACGGGGGGGGGGGCGGGGGGGTAGTTTCATTTTTTATCGTTGGGCATGATTGAGTCAACGTCTTCGTTTCGTCGCAGCATTGAGGATACGTGCGCCTCCGCATAGACGTGTGGATTGGTAGGCAACAACCCTTTGAGAGGATGCTTTACGGAACAAAGGAGTATCAACGAAAATAAATATAGTGGAAGAAAGCCGAGACCGTTGTGGTTCACGGGCAAGTTGCTGTGACTGTATTCAACGAACACGAGGATGCGTTTTTTTATTTCTCTCCCTGCTGCAGGGCTTCCTTGCTGCGAGGGTCGTAGCCTTCTTTTTTTTTGGGGGTTCATTTTTATTGTTGGGCATGGTTGAGTCAACGACTTCGTCTTTTCGTAGCATCATTTTTTTTTGGATACGTGCGCCTCCGCAGAGACGTGTGGGTTGTTTGGTTGGCAACAACACTTTGAGAGGATGCCTTGAGGCAACAAAGGAGTATCAAGGATAATATGGTTGAAGAACGCCGAAGACATCGCTGTCTTGCGGGTAACCTGCCGTGCCGCCACTCTGCGGACATGCATATCGTTTGGTGTTTTCCTATTTGCAAGACTTGTTCTTGCAACCCAATACTACGTTGGGTGTTGGCGGGGACTCTGAGGCACGCTTTGGTTCCGCAATTTTGGAGCCTTGCAATTTTTCCCGTCTCCGCGCATGCTCACTTGAAGCGCAGGAATGTGTTCGCGATGGGATTCGACAAGACCCCAATTTTTAGCGTGTGTGTGGGTCTCCTTCAGGTCTGCAACCTGGAGCAATGTTTTCGCCCACGCGACGAATATGTAATACAGGGATGCAGAGACATCATTAAAAGTTGTATCAACGACAACAACGTTTTCGATTCACACCCTCCTATCAATTAGGAAAAAAAGTCGAACATGCCCACACTTTTAATGCCCTAGGCAAAACAAGCACCCTCCAAGACCCACAGGACCCCGCTTTCATCCGCACACGATGCATGTTAACCATAAAGTGTTGCCGGCACGAACACACACATTACGAACCAAGTGTACCCGGACACATCTGGTCAGAACGCTCCACACCGACACCCACAAAACATGTCAGCGAGAATCAACATGTCACACATCACACCCCCCACCTCTCCCCCGGGATGCGCCGACACCCTACCACCAACACCCAAAACACGTTCTTCCAGCGCCCTCCGCCCTCTACACTGAGGTACCTCCCTCCCGCGCCTCTCCCTCCCGCGCCGCTATCCTCCCTTTCACGCGTCTCGTCATACCGTGGAAGCTAGCGTACTTCTGCCGCCATCCGCTCATGTGGCCCCTAACCGCAACCCGCCCATTTAGTGTACCCGCCACGGGAAGAATCGCATCCCCGCGCGCCCCACCCCCACCCCCCTTGCCCCCCGCCGCGCCTCTCGCCCGCTTGTAGTAGCGACCTTCCCCCCCATCCGCCCCCATCCGCCCCTATGTAGACCCGTCCCCACTTCCCGCTTCTGCGCGCGCGACGCGATGCCGCCGGGCTGGATACGTGCTCACGAATTCCTCTGGCGGTTGTAGTCCGGCCTCCACTGCTTCTTCAACTCCAGGGCCGTGCGGATAGCCGCTCGGGCCGGGGTCTCACCGCTCCTCGAAGGAGCCGGCTGCTCCGTTTGCCAGCCATCCGGCAAGGTGCGCTGCGTAGCACAGAGGGCCGGCCGGTTGCGTCCGCTGCGCGAGTCCTCCTCTGCAAGCTGGATCGGCGATACCTTCTCGTCTTGCAGGAAGTTGTGCAGATGGAAAAGAGCCGTGATGAGATCCGCGCGTCCTGCGAACTGCACGCGGAGAGGTCTCCACAGAATGCCCCAAGTCGAAACCAGGATGCCGAAGCTCTGCTCGATCTTGACACGAAGCTGGCTCAGGTGGAAGTTGAACGAGTCCTCCCCCGCCGGCAGCAGCCTCCCAGGGTACGGAGTCAGAAGCTTTTCTCCAATGGGGTAGGCGGCGTCACCAATGATGTGAAATCCGGTGGGCAAGCGGGCGACGGCCTTGGCGAGGGAAGATCGATTCCATGCTACCCAGTCGTTCGTAGAGCCTGGTGAGATCGCCGACATCGCGCAAAACCGGTAGTCGGCGGTGCACATCGCTTGTACGTTGATGCCGTACGCGGACTTGCTGCCAGAGTAGTACGCGAGGACGTTGGCGGTGTCTTTCGCATACGGAGCCCTGCCCTTGATGAACAGACCATCCACGGCGGCGACGACCCAGGAGAAAATGCCATCGGTGCTCTTCTCCTGCATTTGTAGACGGCAGACACGAGGGCGGGAAAGTAGCAGTGTCGGGAAGGGATATAAAATAAGTCGAGAGATACGTTGACAAAAATTGGTAACAGTGTTCAGCTGTACGTTGTGTGGGTTGATGTCATCGGCGACGGCGCCATCGCCAGCAACGGCGGGCATACCATGTAAACTGAGAGTTGGGCCGTTTGATAATCCTAATCATAATCATGCGTCACGTACAGCGGTACGAAGGTATCAGGGCATTTTAGAGCCACGGAGGTGACTGCATTGATTCCACACTCTTGTATCGCTAAAATCTGTTGCCGGGCCACTGCTGTTGCGGGGCCGAACCAACGTGGCCAGCATACACAAAGGATGACAACAACATTTATTTGTAAAGGACACCGAAAGCTGGCGAACCACCCGGGACCCGGGGGATATTTTTCGGTTCGAACCATGCTGACCACGATGACAACCCGAACTCGTACCCGCCGGCGACAACACTTTTGTTTCTCTCTTATCAACGAGGGCTGCGTATAGATAGTCCTCCCTACGCTAAAACGGCTGGAAACAGCAGACGTGAAAAAATACACGATATCCCGCGGTTGGTCGAAAGAATGCCGCCAAGAATAACCGTAGTTGCAGTACTGACCACCGTTAGGTCTCACCTTGAATCTATTGGCGTTTCGCATGCAGCCTTCCTCGGTCAGGGGGAAGTCAAATGCCCCAATCGCAGGCGTCTCGTTGATGGCATCGATCACTTGCCACAAGATGTCGAACGTGACCGCCCTCGACAAGCCAAACATGAGGGCAACATCCCAGTAACTGCCGCCAGCCAGGATCCTCAACGCCGCGGCAACGCGGACTTCCACAGCTATGGCGCCGTTGGTTGGCGATCGCAGTGCTGTGGGGTTTCCGAGCGACGCGCAGATAACGTTTGCAGGATGAGCGTGAGTCGTTCAGGACAGAAGTACGAAGTGTCAAAGGGGGCATGTTTGCAATCGCCAGCACTTAGTTTAGCAACCTACGACGGGGGGCGCATGTTCTCCGCAAACTCGTCAGATTGCCGGCCCAATACACCTACCTATGTACTACGGTACGGAGACGGCTCTGTGTTCATCACCTACATACGCATTTTTTGCACATGATGAGCACGTGTCGACAGCTGTTGTGTCATTGCGGGATACGACAATTTGTATCGGCTCCCGACGAGGCTGTATTTGTTTAGTGGGGCCGGCGTGTACTGTACGCCCTGTGAATACTGCTGCACAGTAGTGAGCGTCACGAATAGTACCTCCGCCTTTAACCCATACAATGACCGCTGCTGTACAAGTATGTGTCTTGTAACAGCAGTATATCGTACAATACTGCTGCTGCGCTGTACGTACCCTGCTGCCGCATGTTCGACGAGCGAGTTGCTTTTTTAAAAAAGGCAGCAGGAACATAGACTACAGCAGTAGTAGTCTATGTACAGCACATGTTTTAGACTTGTGCTCTTCCCCGTTGCTTTCTACATATACACCCAGAAGAACCCTCATCACGCATACCCTGCCGTGGGCGGCTGCATCTACACATCAACACTCACCGCCGAAGAAAGCGTTGACTTCCAGCGAAGGGCGGAGTAGCTCGACAAGCTTGTGGAAACTGCCTTTCTCCATGCGGTACGACCGCCGCCACCCGTGCCGTTTATCGAGGTCCGCCTCGTGTTGAGCCCACGGAAGACGCTTGGGCTCGTAGATGGGCTCCCGTTCCTGAGGGCAGTGGGCACGATGAGCCTCTCCTGCTGCCACGACGCCCGCCGCCACTACTACGGCCCTCACAAGACCCAAGACTGTGAATCTCTTGTCATGGGCTACATCCTCCTCGTCGATAGCTCGCCGACGGCGCTTCTCCCGGCGTTGCGCTGCGATCCCCCTGGGATCTTGACGCTTCCCACGCTCAGGCATGGTAGTGGAGTTGCCTTGGGAAGCACTTTGGGGTGCTGTTGGTGCTGTCTAGGTGTGGTGTGATGAAGACAGCACGCGTGACCGGTGTCTGCTCCGGTAGCCGAAAAAAAGCGGGAAATTTTTTACCGATCCGTAAAAGGAGCAAGCCCCCAAAAAATACGCCTTGCTCTTTTTACGGAAACGTAGAGGAACGCCTCCATATATTTCAAGAAAATACGGTTTCGTAACCAAATACGTATTTTTTCGGCCTGATAAGACACCCCCTAAATACCGGTGCAGACCGTCATTTTCCTTGGACCGTTCAACTATTAATAATATATCCATATATTTATTTCCGACATTCCGCCTCCACCCCAACAAGGCTACTACGACTGACTCTACTATAGCACCCTCACCCCCAGCTCATGGAGAATACTGATGGAGCAACGTACTCGCTCATGAACAACAGGCGGTTGGCCCAGTTCAGTTGCCGGGAGTGCATGGGAAGCGTAGCGCCGCAAACAGCTGAGGCATGCATGTGTGTACCCCTTCAGCACGCGAACAAGTTGTGATACACATCGCAGTCAGTCATCAGTCGTCGACGGAGTCGATCAGCTCGAGTCGATCGTTCCCCGTCAAACGAATCACCGCAGCACGGTCCACAGGACCCACGCGCTCCAGCTCCTCATGCTCCCACGCCGCTTGAAGCATCCCTAACTCCATCACCTCCGCCTCCGCCTGTACCACACTCCTGAGATCTATGCCGCCCGCCTCACCGCCTCACCCTCCTCACGCGGGCTTGATGTGTCATTTTTATGAGCATGCATGCATGTAGAGCGGCACGCTTCGGTTCACGCATGCATATACATCTAAGATAACGTAAAAAAAGTTGCACCATGTCAGCAGCATGCAATGCGCATCGGGTCTGCGGTGTGCAGTGACTCTGTCTGACTGTCTGGCTGCTGTATGTAGTTTGTTCGCCATGGTGTCGCCTATGACGGCCGAGTTGTGTGTGTTTCGGCAGCTCCACGGGATGGTGCGGCGTCTGTCGGGAGGACGTCGGGAGTATCTCGGGGTGTGTGTGTAGGCCAATGAAAAATTGTTCTTCCAAAGACAAAACTGAGCAAGACAAAATCGGAGCTTTTCTCGGGTCTTTGGGGGTGATTCGCGAAAGCAAAAGACCAGATTCCTAAAGATCCATCGGACTTCGGCGCTTGGGGGATAAAAAAGACCAAGACAAGACCAGAAGAATTAGATGTTCGCAAACACCGTAGTACTATCTGTCGTTGACTTTTTTGACTTGCGGACCCTTCGGCTCCGTTTTATTTTTTTATACCTTTTTTGGTTAAGTTAACCTCTGACAACGGGAATCGATCCCCTCAAGTGCTAGACTACTTGTATGGACAGTAGAGAACGGAACGGTTGCTAGTGTGAAGACAACAACAATAACAACAACAACAACAACAACAACAACAACTTCAGAAGCACGTGGTTTCTTCGCATCGACCGCGCTGCAGCAGTAGTAACCGGCTTGACCAGCGCAAAGACGTCAGTCTCGTTCGTGGACGCACCGAATGGTTGATATTTTGCACGCAGTACATGACCGGGCGCTGCTGCTGTAGAAGCGAGTAGGGCGGCCGAGGCAGCACTTGTGGCGAACTATGTACCCGGCTGATGTTGTTGCGCTCTGTTCCCCTCCCTGCTGTATGCTATACTCCTGTATGTCCTTTGTATTGCCATCGGCCTCTGTGCTGTGCTTCTTTTTTTCCATGTCCTCCCTGCCTACTCTTCCTTGTTGGGTACACCTTGATCTCCCTTTTGCTGTTGCTTTTGCTTTTATATATATGGCTGTCCGCCCATCTGCTGCCTCTTTGTTCTGTTGCCTTCATTACTCCCATGCCCTGGTGCGTAGTGCCTGATGCTGGTACGGTACCCTTTGATTTTTTTTAGGCGGGCGTGGGAAGAATCCTCCTTTTTCCCTTTTTATTTTCGCCTTTATTTTTGTTTTGTTTTATTTTGGTCGGTTTCCTAGCGCTCCTTTTCTCGACCGGTCGGTGCGGTAGCTGTTCTTTTCTTTCTATCATTTTGTTTTCTTTTTCCGAGTGGTTTGTACTCTATCTTGTTTTTGTTTCCCCGCGGCGTCGTATATGCCGGGTTTTGCGACCACGGGCTCCCCATTTTTGTGGACTACTGTACGGAGCTAATGTGAGAAACAACAACAACATATATATATATATGCAGAGGTAGCACGGTTGGTTGTTGTGGGAACCGCATAGACTAGATACATACCGATCTGGGTGAGGCTAGCGCGCTCTTCTCCAAGTTGAAGGCCGGAACGGTAGCCGAAGTACATGTGCACGTGCTGCCGAGGTTTCTGCTTTCTACTCGAGTTCTCCTTGTTATCTGCTTGTAGATGCCCCAGCATTAATTGGTCTACATACATGTAGGTACATGCAGCCGCAGATAGAACCATACCTACACGGCCGCACTGAGACTGACTGGCGTCCTAACATTGGTCAGCAGTTAGCGCGGTCGATGCTAATAGTACGGACAGACACAAAGATATTGGATCTTACATCGAAACCAACAATGGTGTCCGGTCGCCGCCCAGGACACCTACCGTCAAATATGCTCATGGTCAATTGTCATCACAAGAAGTAGCTGTGGTTGAAGCAAGCGTGTCCAATCAGAGGCACACCACTTTTCCTTGGGGGACACGCTGTAAATAGTGGTTATTTTTTGCGTTGGCGGGGCGCGTGGGGGGGGGCGTACTCTTATGTTTTACATGCCTTATCGGTTAGACCATTGACCACGCGTCCTCGAGAGGACGGAGCATTGTTCCCACAGGACCGACTACCGATGGCCAATCGTTCCTTCCTACTTTGCCAAAGGTGGCTCAAAAACGTCTTCCCTAGTCTGTCTATCCTAACGATATCCCTTGCAGCCTTCTCAAACCACTTCGGGGCGCGTTGGGGGGGGCTTCATTCGCGGCCGTTGGGGCGTGGGTGCTGCTAGAAATGGACAATAGAGGAGGGATTCAGGAATTTCACAAGCGCAAAAAACCCTCATGTCGCCACGCCTACTCTTACTAGCAAGAACCACGAGAGTATGGAAATTTGCATGTTGCCGACACACCCAAAATATGTGAAACTCTCTAGTGCAGAAAGCGGAAGCCTTCGGATGGCCCTTCGAGCCAATATGAAGACATGGACCTCGACCCGAAATGAACGTTTCTTATCTGCTGGCTCAAACTGCTGTGATGGCAAGCCGAATAGAGCACAACGAGAACTTCTGATAGGGAAAAACACCAAGTGTCTGATACTAGCTGTTCAGCAGAGTAATCAAGCTTCAAATCGCTCCAGGGGGTTGTGGGTATCTCAAGGCGACCGACGAACTGCAGTGGTCCGCCGATTACAGTACCGTGGTTGATGTAAGCAAAAAAGAACTCAAGTCCCTACAAAAAACATAACAAGGGACCACTCGCACGCAGGACGAGCTTGTCGTACGTCACGTGTTGAGAGTGTCGAGACAAGCATTGTTTTCGGGGACCCTTACGGAGCGTCTCCAATTCTGGAGATGTTCGAAAAACTCGATGGATCATTTCGTATCCCTCCCTATCTTCATGCCCAAGGAGCATTTCGTTTTCGTTTTTTCGAACCATGGTCGTCTTTCAGTTCGTGTGCAAAAGCTATAGTCTGTGCTCTGGTTTTCTTGAGCACAATTGGAGGTCCTCTGTCGATTTTCTCGCTTACTATGCAGGTGGAACGACGAAAACATATAGATGATGCGGGAACAACAATCAAACCCAAGTTGGTCGTGTGGTCAACTAACTTCACCTACACCTGGACAGACGGTTATCCTTGCGTGCGTATGCTTGAAACGCCCCACGACCAGGGCTAAGAACCTGATGCCCAGAGTATTCGACGATGCGCTGATTGGGTGCTGTCACTGGTGGACACGATCGATGTGCCATCGTAGCAGTGCAAGTATCGAACCCGTGTGCGACAAGAAAAAAAAACACGTAGAACTGTGGGGCTCGACCACTGCAAGGGCGGTCGTTCCCGCGCGCTGTACCAGCAACAATGCGCTCATCGAGAGGGTAGATCCCGTTCTCAACCTGCACTTTGTGTGCGGCCTGGTCGAGAGGACCACGACGGACGCGTAAAAATAGGGGGGTAAGATGAGGCCGAACAAAATCGACGGTGTCCCATTGATCCGGGCAATTCGCACCCGGGCAGCGTGCTGAACGAACCCCCCTCCCCCCCCTCCGCGTCTGGAATCTGGGTTGGGCAGGGCAACCAAATTCGGAGGAGATGGAGACGCCTACAGCACGGCCACGAGAGGCCGCGCAGCACGGGCGGAGACGGGCAGTGGGCGCAGACTGGCACTCGAGTCAGGCCGATCCGTCCAAGGCGGGCCTGTTCGATGATGTCGGGGACTGCATCCTGTTGTTCGGGGGGTTCTGCAATGGTGAGAAAAAAAGGAGGAGTTATGTCAGTCCATTGTGGCGTTGCCTCGGCGAGGTCCATGTTGGGTGTGACTATGATGGCCTTTTCCGTGCTGATCTCCTTGTTGATGGCCGGCCTGCCGCGCCGAATAAGAGAGACGAAGTACGCGTTTGACTCGATAGGGTGGTGGCGGTGTCGAAGAAAAAGTGGCTCACCACCGCTGCTGCTGTGACTACCAGCTTCAGAAGCTCCATCAGCAACTGCAACGTTTGATCAAAGCACCCGGCAAAAGACACATTCCTTGCATAACTGGTCCAAATACGCGTCGGACGTGATAGGTGTCGGAGAATATTGGCTTGCCACCGCGGCTGCGACTGCCAGCGGCAGAATCACCATTACCATCACCATCATCAGCATCAGCAGCAGCGTTTGGGAAACAACGCCCGGCAAAATGATTGTTTGGCGAGTGTCGCCAAGCCTATTTGACTCGGCACACCGAACTTTAGCGCATTCACCTCTGTTTCTGACGCGAATCAACCTCTTGCCAGGCAACATGGGTGATGTGGTGCAACCAATCGCGATGCAAGACCTCCTAGCTTCTGTCGCGCCGGACCAGTGTTTTTGGTACGCGCACCCGGCCGATGAAGATGTCGAAAGGGGTTACCGTATCGGCGAGTTTTTCGGCGGGGACGACTCGAAGGTGTTCCCCCTCACGCCCGACCTCGCTTGGAAGGTAACGAAACACACACAAATACACCACTTTTTTTTTTTTTCGCGGACAGCGAGTGTCCTGGCCCTTCTTCTGCGCCCCCGGCTCCAACAGAGAGTGGACACTCTCCCCCGAATCACACCGACAGTTCGCCCACCAGGTAGCTCCCGCGAGGTGATATCGTGTGTATTGTTGATGTCGTTCTCGATTTGGTGGAACGACGCTAGTGTATCGCAAGAATTTTGGGGGGGCAATATGTATCATTGGGCCAGACACTATTTTTCACCCGGTTGGTACAACATTGCAGAAAGGAAATAAACACGTTTGAATTTTCATTTTGGTCTTCAAGTCATATCCGTGTGCCTTGGTGTTTTCTGTTGAGAGGAAACTCTCACTAGCTTGTTGCCTGGAGCAGTGCAAGTGTCCGGGGAAACCGTTGTGGCTGTCCGATCGAAATTGGCAAGTTTTTCCGAGTTGAACGGTTCTCTTGAAAACGAAGACAAGAAAGAGCTAGTGTCAAGATTGTTTTGACAGCATTTCACGGTTTTGTCCGGAACAGAAACGGCTCCATTTATCGGGGCAACCTCGGGAGATTTTTTTCCCGGACGGAGGAACACGGACACGTGTGAATCGGACCATTCGGTTGGGATGCGCACCGGCTGGGACTCTCGAGCATGACTGTCGTTTTAGCGTTCCGTGACACCGTTGTGCGCGCGTGCACGCCGGCGTACCGTCACAGCGTACTGCGGTGGACTAACCCCATGATCGAAACGGCTTGACGAACACACAGGTAAATCGGTTCAAGGCCTTGGTTATCGGTGGCGGAGGGATTTTCGCAGCGATCCACCAGCCGTTGCCAAACGACCAGTTCGTAGAGGCCTTGACCCTGCCGATAGTCGTGATGGGAGTGGGAGCATCGTGAGTGTCGCGTTCCTTCGGCTTCCCGCTGTCTCTTGCGATATTCGGTTGGAAGCGGGGGGTTGGATCGATTCGCAGGCTCGTTGAGGGCTGCACCAACCGTCTCGTAGACTCATGGTCGCGTACGAAACGAACGCCCAATGATGCTACGAGGCCGCGCTCTGTGTGTCGGTTGGATTGATTCACAGGCTGAGTAAGGGCTCTACACCAACCGTTTCCCATGTGCTGACTCATCGTCGCCTAGGAACCGAATGACCACGATGCTGCGAGGCACGCTTTGTGTATGGGGACCCATTCTCGAAGGCTCCCCGCGGGTACAATACCCTAGGGATATTGTGCTGCCGCCAGAGTGAAGGTGCCTTGCGAACGCATCCCCTCCTCCCCTGTGGGTGACGCAAACCAAGGACGCCTGCACGTCTTGCCACCAAGGAAACAAGAACCGCGAGCACCTTCGTCTTTAGACAGTAATTCGACAGCAACCGTCTCTCGTGCATGCGTGCGCGCTGCTTTCGACCGCTGGCGTCCGCCGGTCTGTTGTCGTTTCCTCCCCCCTGTCAGCTCCCGCGCGATGATCTACAGCAAGCTGCTGTCGAAGGCGGTGTTCGTGTCCGGCCGCGATGAGACGTCGATCCAAACGTTCAAGTCCATGCTGGGGCGCGATCCCAACGCGACCGTGGCCCCCGACGACGTCGCTCTCGTGAGGGACCCCGTATTGAGCGACAAAATGCTGTCCGACAAAGAGGGCAGTTGCTGGAAACGGAGCGCAGGTGAGCGCCGCTGGCTGTTGACTGGTCCGAGCAGAGTAAATGGAAGAGACTATCGGGGAACCAATTTTCGTTTCATGAAGGGGAGAGTTGTCTTTTGCGATCGGAAGGTGCCTGACACAAAGAGCTCAAGACCCGCGTTTGGGTTTGTTTCCACACGCCACTGTTCAATGCTATAGGTCGGTTTCCCCGGCGAGGCGAGACCCACGCGACATGAACACCGCAGCCAGCTAAGACAGGAGGAAAAATAAGTTCTTCTCTTGCCGCCCCAGCCAGTCAGTCGTCAACCACGCTGATTGCTTGCACGTTGCCGCTTGCATTTTGTTCGCGCTTCTCGCCTTTGTTTCACCGGCTCGTGGTTCCCGTAGGCGACGATCAACAGCCCCTATGTTTCGTAGTACCTGCGGCCAACACGCAGGACACGACTGAGATGCACGAACACCTGCTCAACGCTGTGAGGCAGGGCGACAGGTTCATCAACGTTTTCCCGAAGCATCAGAAGGAGATCGAAAAGGTGGGCATTGGCATGGATCGCGTTGTGCGGTCGCTCGTGTTTATATTATTTTCCCGTGTTCCCGCCCACAGACCAAGCACTCATTTGCATGAGACAAGTATGGGGGCGTTTCGCGTCCCTTTCACATCATGCCATCCTGGGTGTCACTAAATAACCCCTCTCCCCCGCCTCTCTTCCATCGGGTGCTGTGAAATTCGCCCCCCGGACCCCCCGAGAAGTTCGCGTACCCCGGCACAGTGGAGCAAATCGTCGATCCGATGGAGTACGTCGAGCAGCTGTGCAATTGCAAGGCGATCATCTCGACCAGGCTCCACGGCGTGGTGCTGGGCCTGCACATGAGCGTGCCGACCTTCGCCGCGTTCCGTCTCCCCTCGGACAACAAGGTGCCCGACGTCATGGCGCGCGTCATGTCCCTGCCCGACCAGTTCCTCCAGATCGACAAGGACCTGGACCGCGACCTGGTGAACGCGGCGGTTAGTCGCGTGAGGCAGCTCTACGAGGAAGGGGATCGCCGGGCGGTGATCCACGACCGGCTGTCCGCGTTCCACGACGAGTTCATCGTGCACGCGCGCCACGTGCTCGTCGACGTCCTCGGGGTCGGGGACCACCACCAGCAGCAGCAAGGACCAGATGTGGTGACGTATGTACAACAGGCTCAGATCGACAACGGACTCCTGGCGCCGCAGGCGGCAGTGAGCGCCGCGGCGGCCCTGAACGGCACACCAGCGGAGTCGTCCGTGCCGTCATGGTCGCACAAAATGATGCCGGCATCTGTCGGCTTGGACTGCGTTGCCGCCTTGTTCTTGCTCTTCGCCATCATTGCGTTGGCCGCCTTGCCCTCGAAGACGGGCGGTGGCCGCGGTGGGGGTCGAATCCCTCGGGTACTCAAATCTGACGCAGCCAATGGAGACAAGAAGGGCCTCATTGCCGTCAGCGGCATGGAGCCTGCCCTAGGGAAGGCCACCGCCCACCAAGAAATGGAAGAGCACTGCGGCATGACCGATGCCGCCAGCCCTTCCAGCTTCAGAGATTCCGAGCTGGGTTCCCGAGACTCTCTGTCGCCAGCACAACGAAGCCCCGCCACGAAACAGTCGGGCTTCCCAGCTACCAAGAAAGGACCGTCTCTCAACTTTCTCTTCGCGCTCAACTTCATCCTGTGGATAGCTCTGGCGGTGGCCTTCAGTAGGTACAGCAAGTCCTATCTTCGGGATACGCAGGACCCCGTAGGCCTCCTCGTTCTGCAGGGGTCGGTCGGGGTCGTGGTCCTTTGCGCTCTAGGACGTCTGGGCTTAGGTGCCACCGACGAAGGGCGTGCAGGAGGCTCGGTCAGTGTGCTAGGCCAGCTCGTGCAGCCGTTTGCTGCTAGTCGACTGGCCGGGCTAGCGGCGATCCTCCACACCTGCCAGGCCTTTCTCACGAGCTTCTCCGTGTTCGTTGGCGGCGTTGCCGTGACGAGCGCGCTCAAGGCCACCGAGCCGGTCGCTGCCGTCGCGTTCTCGCACCTTATCCTGGGCAAGACGGTTCACCGCATCAAGCTGGCGTCGCTTGCGGTCATCATGGCGGGAATCGTCTTGTTGACCACGAAAAGCACGGCCACAGCAGGAACCGCCCACGAGGCAGCGGAAGAGGGAGGAGCCACGCCCCACAGCCCGGTGGTGCTGGCAGCAATGTTCACCATGGCGGCCGTCTGCTGCAACGCTCTTCGCAACGTGCTGATCAAGAAGGGCGACCCTGTCCCACCGCGTCAGACCCTCCTGGCCTGCAGCTTGGCAGCGGCGGCGATCGGCGTCAGCCTCATGGCGCTCAGGGTCGTGATGAGGAGCATGGACGACCTGCTCCTAGGCCCCGCTCCCGGAGGCGTGGTCGAAGCCGCGGATGCCGCCCGTGAGGGCAACGGCGCTAGCTGGCTGAGCATGGAGGGCGTGAACGCGGCCCTCTGCTTCGTCGGGTACAACCTCGCCTCGTTCAACCTCCTGGCCCAGCTCAGTCCGGTGGGCCACGCCGTGGGTAACTCCGTCAAGAGGGTGGTGATGTTCGGAAGCGGGATCCTGCTCATGGGGGAGGTGATGACAGGGCGGCAGCTCGGAGGCACCGCCGTAGCCCTGACGGGCGTCCTTGTGTACAATCTCGTTGGGTCTACCGGGTAGTATCGCTGCGAGGTGCGTGGGATGGATGGGGGGTTGGGGGGGATGGATGCTGCTTGGCGTGTTCGCAGATAGCTTGGAGTTGCGGCGTGCATGCACACACTAGAATGCAGTTGGGGACGAAAGCTCGTTGGCTGCAGCTGTGAGTTTGCAGCCAAGGCATTGCTCCCGGTCAAAGGCCGTGCAATGTCAGTGCCACGCATGTCCGTGGCAACGGTTGTCGTAAAGATCAGCCCTTGTCCGTGTGAAATGCACGAGCTTGTCGATGGCACTGTGGGCAACCTACGGCGTGCGGCGTGTGTGCTTGATGTGAAAAGAGTGCGAAGGCGCTCGGACGGGGTATAGCTGTCAGATTTTCAGATGGATGTGGAGAGTCGCCAAACCTTATGCGTGGTGCGTGTTGTCTGCAGGTACTCGGAGTGTGCTCTGTCGGCGGCTGACGATTTCCTTGCAGAACCTGGGGCGTCTCAAGTGGCGACATTTTTTAATAGTTCGGAGGTATCTGTCAGGTGAAAGACAAGCCTGCCTGGGTGTAGCATGGTTTTCATGCCTTGTGTTTGTGGAAGGGGCGTCGGCAGATGTGTGTATGTTCTTTATGCAGCAATTAAGCTTTCATTTCCTCAAGTACATCATTTCCTCTTCGCCCTCCACTATTATCGAGTGCGTTAAATGGTCGAGGCTTTTTGGTGCGTCTACACGTTGGGTGTGCAACGCCGCGAAAATGGTCAGAAATTTCCCGTATCGATCCGATCGGGCACGGTGTCGAATACTGCGGCCTGCTCTTCCGAATTTGACAGTATCTAGCGACAATTCATTGTCTTGTACCTGTAGTCTTTTGCACTGAAAATGGCATCCTGTAGTTTGCAAAGGGGGTGTGCGCTGTGCGTGTAGCAGCACTGCGACGCGTTACGGGGTTGGCGGTCTGATGTACAGTAAGTAGTACAAGGCTGGAGAGCCTGAAGTAGAGGCATTACCGCCTCGTGCATGTGACGCTAGAGAGCCTGAAGCATAGATAGAGCGTCTCGTTCTTTTTCCCACTGCCTTATAGCTGCGTTTACGTTGGGCGTTTCCTGTTCGCTCGTCTTTGGAGTCCCCTTGGACGGTCGATATCTTGACCTCGTTGTGTCGAATTTACGATAGGCCGCTCGATTTACGGCGGACGGATAGGTGTTTGTGGTGCCTCTCGTCTTGACAGGTTCATTCTGTGTCTCACTGTCTCATTGCCCTCTTATTCCATGGATGTCGTGACGTGTTTCACGGCATGGTTCCTGCGCAGTCGTTCTCGCGCTATTGCCTTTTCGCTCCAGCGGCGCAGTTTGTTTTTTTCCGCGTGCTTGTTAAGTCTGTTTATGGTGTGTAATGGAGATAAGGTCCAAACACGAGCAAGTGGGCGTTAAGCCATTGCAATAGAAGGAACTCATAATTCAAAGTATATAGGCTTGAATATTCTCCCGGTTGAAGTACCGTAAGTCGCAAAAGATGCAGCATCCCCTGGACGGAAGGTCAACGCCCGATTACTCCATGACGAAGAGGATGACAACATCGCACGTTAGTTGTTTAGGAAAGCTCGTGACTTGATGGCTCCAACGCCGCAAATCCCGACACTGGAAGTCCTTAGTTGTTGGAGAGTAATCGAGCGTAGTATACCGATCGGGGGTGGGGGTGGAAGTAAATGTGACGTACGGTGTATGCGTGGTAGTCAGGTTGTGTGTAATACTGAAGTAATGTTGTTCCTGATTGTTGCGTTTTGATGTTACATGTTGGAGGGCGGAATGTCTCTGTATTGCAGAAGACAACGAACCCCAAAGTAGGACAGGGAGCCTCGATATGTGGTACTGTGCCTGCATACTAGAAAAACAACAAGGTGGAGGTCCAGCTACGAATGAAAGTATTTCCACCAAGAAATGACGGTGGTGAGTTCCCAGATGTCTCACCAGGTACTGCATAGAACAGACGGAAATAGCGCGATGACTGAAAATGATCCCACGCCCCCCAAATCACGAAAATTTGCATCGCACACCCGGGGCGCGATCATGCCATCTCTCGGGCTGCTGCACGACTTTTCACCCTTTCACTGTGCTTTGGTTCGTGGAACTTGCATGTATATGCCAATGAGTGTGGGTGTCTTTCTGACCCAATTCTTTCACATGCGTACAGACTGGGGGCATTTCAGGCAACGCTCATACAGACAGTGCTGAGACAAGCACGTCGTGTGCTCCACGGGCAGCTTCGCGGCTTGTCCTCGGGTAACCGTTTTAGCTATGGTAGGCATTCAACGCGGTACCCCTTTTTCGACATTCAAGTCAAAGGCATCAATCTCTATCTCGCTACAGCTTCATCTGTGTACATATTGTGCCGCGCACATAATTCACATTATTACAAGGCTTTCGGCGGCTTACGCCGCCACGCTGAGAGAAGCGTACCGCAAGACGCATGTTTCTTGGCGTCTGGTAAACGATGGTATGCGGTGGCTGTGAGATTCCCAGCAATTTGTTCCCGCAGTATGCAGATGTGAGAAATGATGTACCACATAGGGCGAAGTCACACACTGAACGTGCGTTGTGAGCAGTAGTGAGCAGAAACACGGCTTAAGCATACGACACGACACGGCTTAACAACTAAGTCACACGGTGCACACTAAGGCAACGGTAAATTAAAGCACGGTCCACGCAACGACACGACACGGCGTAGTCAACAACACGGGCGCCACCCAACGCAAACCACACGAAACGGCATAGTCAACCACGCAAACTTCATGACAACGGCAAAGTCACACACTACATACGACACGACACGGCATAGTCATCCTGACAACACGACCACGGAAGAGTCACACACTAACGGCAGCACACATACGCACAACACGCGACGAGCCGCAAACCCAGAGACTTTGAAACCAGCAACTATCCTCGTGGGATGCATAGTGACGCATACGACACGACACGACATGGCATAGTCATCCTGACAGCATGACCACGGAAAAGTCACACACTAACGGCAGCGCACAACGACGATTTGCTAACCCATCGCACGGACTATGCCTTTTTGGCCATTAACCAGTCCTTGCTTAAAGTTAAGGTTCCTTGTTATCATTACCATACAGTTCAGCTTTAGGTTCAAGACATGAGGCGGAACGCCTGCAACGTCAATTGAGTTGAGGTCAGCAGCCATGACGAAGTCGAAGGCATCGGCATTGCAACTGTCAGGGTCGACAGTGTCGCAACTGTTCACGGTACAGAGATCACCAGACAGCAGGTGAAGGATATGTTCATTGATTGTGTCTATGGTGTCATTGGTAGAGGACAGTATTGCTCTCGACTTGAACGTGCTGGGGTCTGCATGTAGAATATCGGGGTAGACGAAGTTGATCAATTCTTCGAATGATTCCGTATTCTCAATGACAAACGGATCAGGTGGCATTGCTGGGATGTCATGAATGTATGCTAGGGCTCCGATACCAATATTGCGTACAAAGGCGGCGTAGGGAGCATCCTGGCGATCACGTTGGGAAATGGTCAGGCGCATTCTATGGATATACGGCCACAGTGGGCTTGAAATGATGGAAGCATCAACTGTTTCTGCCTGTCCGAAAACACGACGACGGGTCCTATTTGACGCATGTCGCCACTGAGCAAAACAGTTTTGCCGCCCATTAGCAGAGTGTTCCCCATGAGGTCCTGTAGCGTAAGGTCAAGCGCCTCGACGGAATATCGGTGGCTCATCGGAATTTCGTCCCAAACGATGAGATCACATTTCCGCAAAACTTCTGCTCGTTGCGATTCCGCGGAGATATTGCACATTGCGCCGGCGACATTTTGAACCGTTGTGTTGGGTGACGTTGTGCACGACGTGGTCGTAAACTAAAAGCTGTTCGTTGGTAAGGTTAGGTAGGTGGTGAGCAGCGAAAACACGCATCTGTTCGACGTCGAACATATGTTTAAACCGTAGGTACTCCGTGTCTAAATGAATGACTGTTGGAAGTCCGGCGATGGTGTTAGTACGTCCATGGTGCTGCAATCCAAGGTCGATTTCCCGAAGCGCTGCGTTGCTCGCTTCGATGGAGGTCATGGACATACGTAAGTCTTGGGGGTGAAGTCTCGTTTAAAGTGCCTTGTACTCTTCGTCATGTTTGACGATGCCCATGGCTCTAGCAGCGTCTTGGAATGTTTCATGAACTATTTCGTTGTGAGTCCTGAGTAATTCAAACGATCTTGCCGGTTTGTGGTGCAGAAGTTGGCGCAGATAGAAGACGTCCCCTTTATCTGGTGTAATAGCCGTAACACGCGCTACGTGCTTGTCTGGAGTGCGAGGTGTAACATAATAGCCGAATCTGTCGCGAAAATGCGTTCGTTCCTGTTTTCCGTGACTTTCGATTTTTGTTGACAATGTACTTCTCGTTGTAGTCCAGGTACGTGAGGGAATCGAAGTCGGACTCGGTAGGTCTTCCAAAGTACAGCATGAGGTCGGATTTGGTCTGTTCGGCTTCCGACTTCTGTTCGGCACGTGTAAGAGTTTGATCGACAATGACGTGTTGTTCATCGGGAAGGTGCAGGCGAAGGGACGTGACGGAAGGGTGGCGCTCCATGATGTGGAAACCAAGTAATCGCCACGCAGCCTCTGCCGCTGACACGTATCTTGCCGATCGGTAAGCTTCAATTTCGTCACCACCACAAACAATCTTGGCCTTGATAAAGTCGGCGCCTTTCGTGATGTACTTGTAAATATACTTGACTACTGTATGGCGTTGGCGGTGCAGACGTCAAAACACATGTGACAGTTGTATTTGGAAAGGAGCCAAATGTTGTACGGTGCTATCCATTGATTGGTGGCGAATGATTCGATAAATTTGCCGTTCACTCTGTGTGTGTAGGGAAATATCTCTTCGGTATCTCTACGACGGTACTCGGCTCTACCGGTCTTGCCCACAGCGGCTACGTCACGCCATGGTTGGGGATAGTTTTTGCCGCACACCTTAACTCCAGGCCGTTTTCGATCTTCCTTCATGCACGGTAATGTGGGGTTGTGACTGCCACACTGTTTGTGTACCATGAGGTTCAGCACTTGATCTCTTGATCTACCATTGTTGAGCTCTGGCGGCGGCACTTCCGCCCAACACCATTCGTCCATTTCTCCCATCTGATCGGGCAAAGGTCCCTCAAAGCGCACTACTAAATGCATATGGGGCATTCCCCTCTTCTGGAACTCTACGCAGCTCATCTCAAAGTCAATCGGTCCAAAAATCTTGCCACTCCTGAGGTCTTTCATGAGTTCAGCCATTTTAATTTTAATTTTGAAGACACGGTCGCATAAGTCTGGCCTGTCGTACGCTGTTTGACCGGGTAACAGATTAGCTTGAATTAATTGCTTCCCAGTTACCATTGCATGTCATGGTGAGCATGGCACTAGGGCGTCCCTTACGTGATACAATAGCTAAGGCGTCGGTTTTGTGTTTGCTTTCATTTTGGCTGGATGCCCGTGAAAGGTTTTCGGGAGCGATTTACCTATCTGAGCTTCCTGGGGCGCGTCCTCTAAAGTTTTGTACGTGGTGGCACGTTTCTGGCCTTCAGCTGAGGAATGCATGTATGTGTGTGTTGTGAGCAGACAGAGTGCTGGTGCTGGTCTGCAGAGGGAATGAGGCAGACGGAAAGCGAAGAGTCTGCAGAGGGAATGAGGCAGACGGAGCCGAGAGCAGACAGAGTGCTGGTGCTGGTCTGCAGAGGGAATGAGGCAGACGGAAAGCGAAGAGTCTGCAGAGGGAATGAGGCAGACGGAGCCGAGAGCAGACAGAGTGCTGGTGCTGGTCTGCAGAGGGAATGAGGCAGACGGAGAGCGAAGAGAAACCCGAGAGCAGACAGAGTGCTCCACACGTGATCGAGAAAAGAGTGCTGGTGCTGGTCTGCAGAGGGAATGAGGCAGACGGAGAGCGAAGAGTCTGCAGAGGGAATGAGGCAGACGGAGAGCGAAGAGAAACCCGAGAGCAGACAGAGTGCTCCACACGTGATCGAGAAAAGGCGGAGCGGCGGCGGAGCGGAAACATGCCCAGAAGCAATGAGGTGCTGCAGACAGACGGAGAGGGCAGAGAACGAACCGAGAGCAGACAGAGTGCTGGTGCTGGTCTGCAGAGGGAATGAGGCAGACGGAAAGCGAAGAGTCTGCAGAGGGAATGAGGCAGACGGAGCCGAGAGCAGACAGAGTGCTGGTGCTGGTCTGCAGAGGGAATGAGGCAGACGGAGAGCGAAGAGTCTGCAGGTAGGTAGGTAGGAAAGATGCAAGCACTGGTAGAAGTGAGAGGTGTAGGGGAGTGAGAGGTGTGGGGGGGAGCGCGACGTGCGAATCGAATTTTAGGGCTTTGAACGGAGACTATATTTGTGTTCCGAGACGAAGAGGCAGACAGAATGCTGGGCGTGCAGAAATGAGGTGCTGCAGACAGACGGAGAGGGCAGAGAACGAACCGAGAGCAGACAGAGTGCTGGTGCTCGTCTGCAGAGGGAATGAGGCAGACGGAGAGCGAAGAGTCTGCAGAGGGAATGAGGCAGACGGAGAGCGAAGAGAAACCCGAGAGCAGACAGAGTGCTCCACACGTGATCGAGAAAAGGCGGAGAGGCGGCGGAGCGGAAACATGCCCAGAAGCGGAAAGACAGAATGAACTCTAAATCCAAGTGAAAAATGGTGGGAGAAATGCTGGTCTGTCAGGGCTCGAGAAAACCGATCTTTGAACGGAGAGCGGCCCGCTGGAAATGCGAAATACTCGAAAGTTACGCCGAACACAAATGATAGAACTGTTATTAGATGATGAGTGAGGCCAGGTTGCGGGGTAGCATGGGGCGAATTCCGCCCCTCTCCCCATGCAATGCATTTATGTATATACGCACGAATATGGGAAAATCCAAGGATTTGATTACATCGGTTTTACATGAGAAAGATAATGTGGGCGTCCGGGAAATAATCGCGAAGCCTTCAGCACGGAGGGAGTTTTTTTCGCTGCGCCCTGTTGTTGGGCGCAGACCTCCGCTTTCCTTTTCTCACCTGTGCGGAAGTTCGCCTGTACCAACGAGGGTCCATTCACATCGCATCGAATGAATCTTTGGTCTCACGCACGAAACAAGCGGGATTGTATCAATGTACTGCTGTGGAAAGGGCCGTATGAACTACTGTGTACATGGCTTGTGTACACACGAACACTGTGATCAGACGAACTGATGTTTTCTGCGTGCGCTAAAGCGAGAGCGTCATCACAACATGGATGGGTTCACCCCATTCAGACACCAGCTCACTCTGCAGGGTTCTCTCTAGCCCGTCAGACAACAGTGAACAGGCGTCTGTGTTGTTTCCAAGCCACCTTTGCCAGGGTTGAAGGGAGGACGCAGGAGCGCCATGGTTGAACAATGTTGGACACATCTCCGAAGATCACAATACTACTACGGGTTTCCACCGGCACACGAGGCATTTCCAAGTAGAGAGAGCGAGAGAGAACTTCCATGTAACCTCGACTTGATGGCCAGCAACGCCATCCACCGGCGGGGTCTGTGCGAAGTGTTCACAAACTTCCCCCGCAACACTTGCGCAGGCCAGACCTCAACCAAAGATCCCACAAAGCAACTTGCCGGCGGGGGGGGCATAGATAGGAGAACCAGCCCCCCCTGTGGATAGCAGTTGCGCGGCCCCTACGCACTGCAACGATCCACAGCGTTGCACACACCGCAGAGCAGCGAGAGAGAGGGCACGTTGTGGCATTTTGGTGTGTGTCCATCGGTGCGTAGGCAGCTTGCTTCGTTTTTCTCTCCCTAGACCGGCTGAGAGACGCTACGAAAGGTAAGAAGGGCGTGAGGGTGCGGCAGCGTAGGTGGAACAGCTGGGTCACATATGCATATTCAGTTCCTGCTTTGAAGCACAATCCGTTCGTTGGCAACCTGCTGCGGAGCTGCTGTGGAGGAGCTTGTCCTGCGTCCATGACTCCGCATAGCGAATGGAAGAGTATCCCTTGATTTGCGGTATTTGCCGATATTTAGCGGGAGACTGCCTGCCGTCGTCTATGTAGACCACAGTAGTACGTTCAGCTTGTGAAAACTCCTGTCTCACAGTAATGAACTCGTTGGCTACGGGAACAAGCAACGGTTATTTGGGCACACCAGAGCAACGGTGTCATCAGAAGGCCTCTCACTACTGCCTCTCCTCTTCCCTCGCCGGCTTCTCCGCTCTCTACCGCAAGGAAGGGTCGTTTGCCCCAAAGATGCCTGCAACGTCCGCTGCGACCGGTGGCGCATCCAGAGTGTTTTCAGCGACCTGGCCACCGTACACTCCAGCATCTATGGGTGTAGAGGATGACCAGCAAGCCGCCAGGGACGACCGGCAGCGCGGTCCCTACTGTCAGGTGCGACTCCTGCAGGAAACTTCCCAGCTGAAACTTTGCGTTCAGGCCGTGCATCTGACACTACATACCACATGCACATAAGACGACGATACATTCTTCTACTGTACATCAGCAGTACACCATAGTCTGCATACAGTTCCGCCTTGGTATGTACGTTGTGGGACCATTTCTCTCCGGCGGCAACATTTGGGATTGGCTAACCTACGTCCTGGTTCCCATTCCTTGTGCTTTGGGGGTGTCGGGAACAATGGCCAACCATCCTTCTAGAATTAGACAGGCAGTGATCGGTGCTCAAACATGTATCGTGTGAGGCAGGCCCACGGGCCCCCTGAAATCCCCACCTGCATCCTTCACTGTCACGGCCGATTCCACTGTCAAAATTGCTATCGTCACCGCGCACTGTTTTGCTTGCAGGTCGCAATTCGGACCCTCCGTGCACGCACGAGCGGCGCTGCTTTCATTTCAAGTTCAGGTGAGACGGAAATAATGCACAAGACGCCGCCGTGGTTGACGCTGGCACTTCCGAGCTCACCACTCATCGAATGCATCTACTACGCATACTATGCACCCGCAAAATTGGTCTTGCCTGTAAACAAGATGGATACTCGATTCCGGCAGTGAGCCACATCATCCACAATCCTACTAGAAGGCAAGACACGTGTGCTGTACCGTCACTCCGTATTTCACTCTTGAAAACAGCTAGAGTTGATACTTAGGAACGTACATAGTTGCTGTTCAGTCCGTGAGGGCATACGCTAAGGCAGAGGCCCACCGTAGTATGCATATGGCTATTGCCAATGTCTATGACTAATATTTGCAGTACATTTTCTGCTGAGGGATGGTGTAGTACTGGAAAACTGTGAACATTTCCACTCATCCTGGCTACAAACTCGGCCAACTGCATGTTGGGGACGTGTGGTTTGTTCCTATTGTAATCTTCCGTCTCGGTGTTGACTTTACAGGTTGAGTAACATCTTGAGGCGCCCACGAAAGGCAACGAAGAGCAGCTTCCATATACGCATCGGAACAACTTGTGAAATAGCCTGTTCAGTCGATTTTCATTCAGTGAAGCCACATGATATCATTCACGGCTCCCTCGGGGACTGAAACTGAGACCAACCCGGGGAAAGGAAAGCACCTCTCAAAAGAGTACCGAAAGGTGGGTTGACTACTTGATTTTGGGCCGGTGCCTGGCTGTGTCTTACCCGCAAGATTCAACTAATCGATCAAGCCTGTGCGCCGTGACGTGCACGTACGTACGTATATACCTGGCTCGACGTCGTAGACTGACAAATGAACAGCAATTTGTTAGAACAGCTGTCCTCGACCAAAAGTGTGCAACTGCTTTTAATATCCCTCCTTCGTGGACGGCAGCATGCAATATTGAGTGCTACTGTGACACACCAACATCCTCCCGGGCACGTACTAATTGACGGCGTGCAGAGGCCACCACCGACCAGGGCGAAGGCGGTGACCTTCTTTTCGTCGAGCGCGAGCTGCTCGTGCGGAGCTACAACAGCGTCTCACTTTCTGACGACGGCACCTATAGCTTGACACTCTCCGACTGCTACGGATTCATGCCGATTACCACGTCTTCTCCTGCCAGACGAGTATCGAGTGCTTCTTGGCGGTCACGCAATCATGACGGGGCAGATGCCGGGAGGCGTGAACGGCAAACGGCGGAGATTGTTCGTATATTGTTCCTTCCCCTGCCTTCATCGATGGAGTTTGTGGTGAACAGCGGACAAGTGAGTATTGGGTAGGAGCACTGTATCACTACCTCTGATCCACTCTCAGGGAATCAGTTCACTCGATACGGAGTATTTGCCGTTCACAAAAAGCATTGTTGAACTGATACCGACCACGGTGCGCCTCAGATTTGGGTATCGAATGCACGGTCAACGACTCTGGAGTGAATACATACAATGGGTTGCGATCAATTCGTCATGTCTAGACCCGTACCCACACGGGAAGGCCACGCACGTTGGCTGGGATGCGTCCCCCGAGGTAGTCACTCCGCTTGTCGTAGCGTATTTTCTCTCATTTCGATGCCCTCGCCTCTATTTCTCTTTTCCTCTTCTCCTGCTTCAATGGCCGTACGTGCGCCCCGCCCCGTTCCGTCGACGGAAATGCACGCATACCTAAGGCGACAAGCAGTGGCACCGTCATCGGCAACTTTCACCTTCTCCCCGTAGCCCACGTGCCCCAGCTGCAGCACGCGCCCGTCTTCAACGCAGAGACCACCACCACGTCTCCGGATATCAGGACCGTCGGGCACGCCGCCTACACGCCCGGAGTCCCCGTTCTACATGAACCATCCCGCGCGTATTTCTCCTCTACAACGGCGGCCGCCGCGGATTCACTCTGTGAGAGGGGAGAAATGGGCTGCATCGGAGAGGGGCCAGGTGTCGACGAAGGTACCGCGCTGTCTTCAGTTGGAGGCGGCTTCGCGGGGGGAGTAGCGGTGGGGGTCGTTTTTTCTCTTCTGCTTGTCCTCATAATCTTCAGAGGAGGACGGGGCAAGGACTTCATGGAGAACTTCTGGACTCTACTCAAGGGCGACGGTGATGCAGGGATGAGAAAATCCGGGTGGAGGGGTTTCATCGTCAGCGTCGGGGGGGAGAAGAAGGTGTCGTCATGCCAAAGTTCTGTACCTACGAAAATGAAAACTGAAATCCCGCCCGCTTCCGCCCAAAATCCAAGTAGACTACCGGCATCTATGCAGCCTGTGCGCTTCAGGACATAGACCGACATTTGGTGCCAGGTTTCTGGGCTCCGACAGAACTGGCCACGCACACCCAGACCAAGGGATGTAGGCGTATGGCAAAAGTGATTGCAGTGCTCCCCTCCCCTTCGTATTCACTCCGGTATTGCATTCTATATCTTTGGCCCGGCAGGAAGACGGCGTACCGCATGGCGTCGATGCGCCAGGCAAGAGTAACGACGGCTCCAGCGACAGCGACGAGACCCTTATCGAGAATGTACCTGAGCCGGTGGGGCTACCTAGGTACGGTGAACCACCTGCTCGCTTTCTAACAAAAGCTCACAACATTTTTGTTCGAACAACTAAAATTGTAGTGCCCCCCCAAATCCAAGTTCGCTCCGAAAACCGTTGTTCAATTGCTGTCGGTTGACCAAGCCTTTGATTAACGCCACATCTAACAGACGGTTAACCGTAGGTTTTGACGCTTTATCTGATCCTCCATTGCTGTGGCCCCGTGCTGTGTCTTGTGTGGGCAGGAGCGAGGAAGACTGGCGGATCTTATTCGATACCCTGTACGAAGATTAGTCGGCGCCGCGGCGGAAGTAGCGATGATCCCACAAGCCGCGTCGCCCAGCCATGGACGGGCTTAGGTTGCCATGACGCCATCAATCGTTGCCCAGTAATGATGGATCCCCTCGTCCCCTTCTACCGCTGAAATCCCCCTTTGGCACGTACCCGGGTTTAGCAAATTGTTGAAGGCATTGAGCAGCCGTCCACCACGATATCCTTATCTAGCCGGCATTCTTGCCTTCGCTTCAGTACGAACGAGAGATCCCTGACCCAAAGAAGTGAGTATCTGAAATTTCTATCTCAAGATCTTGACCCTACTCTGGCGTGATCAAGAGGGTTGACTTCCTTCTGCGGCCAACATCAACCACGGCAAATATATCACGCGTCGAGACTACTACCGCGTTCGCGACGAGTGCAACTGAAAGAGGCATATTTGATAGATCGGGATTTAGCCACAGCCAACCAAAGAGTCGAAATTGTTTCCGAAACACCGGGGTCTTGGGGCACGCATCGTATGAGGTAGCGCGTTTGAAAAAACACAATCGACCGCGTGAAGCAAGCACAGACCGAATAACAAAAAAATATGAATCGAAAGAGAACGAAACACGTCACGAGGACATCACACCAGTACCACGTGGTGTCGGTGTGCCATGGTAGGTACTCGATATCTTCGTCAATAACCAGGAACGGAACATCTACCGAGACGATACGTCTAGAGCAGCGTCACCACGCAACGAGGACGCCACCAACAACAACTTCAACAACAACAATAACAACGACGACGACGACGACGACGACGACGACGACGACAACTAACAAGGCAAGAACAAACAACAAAGGCGACGGAAACAACGTCAACGCCCCGCAAAACGCGGCAACAGACCCAAACAAATTTGGACAAGCTGCGACCTAAAGATAATTCGTCGGTCGAACACAAAAACAATCAAACTGGCCAAGGGTGCATCTGCCAAGAGTGCAGAACGACATGATACGGGGAGCAAACCAGCACCTGGGACATCACAAACTTTAGACACATATGCACACAAAAACGCTGTCCCACCCAGGCCCTCCGAATCACGCCCGGCCACATCGCTGCCTAACCCTAACCGCATCACCGGAGCGTGTGGTGCGGTCTCCATCGCCATTCGCATCTCTCCTTGGAAGGAAGTCGGCGCCGGTCTACAATGTAGTCTAAACTGAAGAAGACACGAGTTACAGTGCACACGTGTGTACAGAATTGCACGCCGAAAGGCGTTGCGAGCAACAGACCTCCTGAGCGAGCCGGGCCGCTGCGAAACACATCGGTGTCATCGAGGACGGCCGTTGCACGAGTGAAGACGGCGGTAGAGCTCTTCGCTGGATTCGGGTGATGCCAATCCGTCACCGCCCCCGCCACCGTTGCCCCGCCCGGTGCGTCTTTCCGCTCCGGGGCTGCTGCTGATGCAGTTGACCGGAAACTTCCCGCCATCCAACTTTGACATCGCGTGCTGCCAAGGCAAGCGGTAAAGAGCAAGGGGAGACAAAGCACGAAAAAGCGGCTCGCGTTAGGCACTTTCGACTGATACACCTCTACACAAGGATTCAGCTACTCACGACACTGTGGTATAGACAACCAAGTGTGCGAGAGAAAAACTACGGAGCGCTACCGCAAGGTGGAGGCGGTTCACCTTAAGTCCGGTAGAACCCTGCCCCTTGAATAAATAATACCCCCACCGCAAAACGGCACGTCTCAACAGTAGTACCCACGGTTTTTGACCAAGTCTTGGAGGGGACTAAGGCTACCTTGCTAGCTGCCAGTGAAGCTGCGTATCGCTCACAAGAGGGCGCAGTGCGGATGGAGCAAGTGTGTGCTGTGTGTGGTGAGCTCACCTTGGCCTTGGGATCACCGCCCAGCATCGCGGCTACCCGCTCTGACGTTCGGGAAGGCAACGCGCGCACTAGGGTTTCGAACTGTCGCTCGTAGTGCTCGTACAGCACCTCGTCGACCAGGTTACACCCTCTGCAGTAGCAACAGCAGTAGCAAAGCAACAGCAAACAGCCGCAGCACCAACACCGCCAGCATTAAAAAGAAGCGGGGCAAAAGAAGAACGAGACAAAGCGCAATGTTGCAAAGAATCGCCACGTGCCTCCGCAGCATACCAAGGTCACCTGCAGCAGAATCGATGATTTAGAGCAAATGTGTGGCAGGAGACGAAGACAGAAAACAACGCCAAAACCTCCATTCTTTGCCCAACTCTGGATTGGTTTCGACACTCAAAGCAGGTCAACATTGTCAACCGCGCCTACAGTAGTGCCATACACCACTGTGTACTTGTACCGTCGACTCAGGAGCGCCCAGCTGTGTTTATCGAGTGGTACTGCATACTGCCGAAACTAGATCAACGGGCGGAGCTGTCTTTCGGATTACAGTTCCCGGCCAGTTCGGAAGTACAACGTCCGACACGCGTCGTTTTCGAACGCATTACAGCTTGTCATGCTTCACCCTCCCGCTTCCGGTCGCGCAACTGGCCATGACAGCCAACCAGAGGAGGGAGAACGGACTCCGGTATTTCCCGGGACATCACGGCGTTGGTAGTGAGTTAAGGGCCATTCCTCTTCTACTCTAAAAAGCACACCACAACACATACAGTACTTCAAACGACGATGGGTCATACGGATGAGACTTCTTCAACTGCATCGTTTCTACTCTCTAAAGAACGGATGCTCCTAGGGTATTTACCATGCCATGCAACTGCTGTGCCATGGGCTCTTGGTTTAGAGAAGAGCACGGAGGGTGCATGGATACGAAAACCTGTTACTGCGGCGTGTGTTGGCGGCGTTGATGCCGTCCCCACACAAGACCACGGGAGCTGCAACAGGGGCGTCACATGCCACCGGGTCAGGGCCACCGGCGGGTAGCCCGCTGTTACGCTGCTTGCTGGTTGTTCGTACGACATGATAGTACGGGCACGACGGCCTTCGACATGACGGAAGCTGATCGATCAAACCGTGCGATGCCGACCCTGCCACATTGCACTTTGTTTTTCCCACCTGATGGCGCTGATGCACTTGTTGTTGGTGTCAGCGGCGGGGCAGGAAAAGTAGCCACGCCCTGCGTCCTGCACTCTTTGGGACCCAACGTTGAGCTCGATCGTGTCCATGTCCCATTGCATGAGATGCGCCTGAGGGCAGAGCGGCGATCCGTGGTTGTGTTTCGAAGCGAGAGGAGGAAAACACTTCAGGTAGACCACCCGCTACGATGCAACATAGCCACTACTACTGTCTACTACTACCAACAACAACAACAACAACAACAACATACTCTATGGAAACACCCACCAGGACGGCGACGGATTCTGTCATCCTTTCCGTGATGAGCACCACCACGCCGTGTCTCTCAGCCTCCTCCATGACCTCGCTGGCCACCCTGTCAAGAACACCGTTTCCCACATTTCCCGAGACGTCAGTCAAAATGGAGCTTCGTGATACACAAGGCGAGCGCGATTACCTCCAGACCGTGTCGCTACTGTCAAGAACTTGGAAAATTATTAACTCTAGGGGTAAAAACGCTGCAGTTACAAGAGCTTGGACCCCGACCTACACTAAAACAAATACATTTCCTGTTGGCTTCCTTGTAGAGGAAACAAGCCGCTACGGTTTTGCCCCAAAACAAAGGGGTACATACTTGGCGACGTGTTCTGTAAGTTGCTTTGTAGAGATACATTGAGGGAAAACAAACGGCGGTGCGGCCATCACAAGACAGAGCGGTAGCGAACCTCGCCAATACTACAGAACGGTGCGACGACAACATGCAGCAGAAACACAACGAGAGCCGTGCAGCAGTGCAGCGCAAGCGAAGCAAGGTGCATGTAACACGACCGTACAGTTCAGGACTGACGTTCTCCCGAGAGTCGTGATCTTCACCAAACCGCTGGGCGCAAGGGCAAATGCAACGCCATGCAACTGTGTCAACAGGGACACCGCGACCGAGTCGCAATGCCAAAACGCCCGAAAACCATGGCCGCGACGCCTCTCAAACAACGACGAAGCAACTGAGGAGCGAGGAACAACTATAACGAACACACGCGTGCGGTGAATAAAAACGACCTTCGAAATGAAACCGCGTTCGACAAGTCCAAACAGTTTTTCCTGCACTGCCAATGCTGTTGGGGCATGAGAAACGCTACCTTCGTGTACTAAATATATTGCGTGGGGGAAAATACAACCGATATATCTGCGTCGGTTCAAACAGGAAACGGCCAGAGGCTTCGTACATTCCACGCGCTCCATGCGGACAACGCAGCAAATTCAGCCGTCGGTGCCATGGTAAAGCATGAAAGGGCGCACCTTCGAGCTTTTTCCGCATCCACGATCTTCGTGAAGTCGACGTCCCGCCCGGACATGAGCCACGCGAGCTGGTTGCAAAACGGTCGGGCATCACCTTGAGGCACTCTTCCGGCACGAATCTCGGTCACCAGCGCTTGTGGGGTCTGCGCATCATGCACGATCATCATCGGTGATATACGGGGGGGGGGAGGCATTGGGGCGATATCAGGCGGGCAGGGTCAAGATATCCAATGGCAGGCATCAGGGAAGAACCACACGTTAGCAGCGCACGTGCGACTGTGGCGTGCTGCGTACGCCCGGGAACTAGAACGTCGGAATATCTTTTCCAAGAGCGGCGAGATTAGTCGCCGACCGCCCCTTCCGTCCTAAACACCAACCACTGCGCAGCGCACACTCAACGTGGCAAGCTCATAGAGGGATCCGGACAACCCTAGAGTCACCGTGTCAACGTGTTGCCGGCTGATACATGGCGGGAGCTCGTCAAGCGTGCACAAAAAAACAAACAGACAGGGGTGGTTTGGAGGGCACGAAGAAAACGTGGTTTGTGTCTCCGAAAGGCAACATGTCGGCTGCTTTAGAGGAGAGGTGAGTACAAAACTATCCAGCTCTCGTCCTCTAGACCATCGATTCATGTTTTGTTTTCTTGGGTGTCTTCTCCATCAACGGCTCTCATCCGGGTTTGCGTGGTTCAGCAGTGGACGTACTCAACAGGCAGGGAGGCGCGTCGCTGTGAACTCGATGTGTTGAAAAAGTCTTTTTTGGGACGGAGGAACAAGCCCTCTATATCCAAGTGAAAAAGAGGACCGAAAACAACGTTGTGTCCAAACTTTGCGCGCACAACGATGTGCCTCCCTGCCGACTGAGCAAGGCCATTGCCAACCCACGCGCAACCGGATGAGAGTCGTTGATGGAGAAGACGCCCAAGAAGAAAAACATGAATCGATGGTGCAACGGGCGAGAGCTGGATAGTTTTGTACTCACGTGTCCTCTCAAGCGGCCGACTTTTTGCCGTTGGGAAGCGCTGACGCACGTTTTGGTCTCTTTTTGACACCGAGAACATTTTTTCTCGCACGCCGGGAGCGCTATCGCCACATATTGGCGGGCATAGCATCAGCTCAGTGCATCAAGGGTTGTGGGGAGCCCTTTGCGAGCTCGTTACATTCAGTTTCCATGACGCCTTTGTGGTTTATCTGTCGCAAATCGTTTGGTAGCAGTAGACCACGATTCCCGCCGCACTTCCGATGCATTCCGAGAAAACCACAAGATAAGACGTTTTTGCGCATAAAAACGGTACTCAAATGTTCCTCTGGCAGATATTCGCGCGCAAATGTTTGACAGCATTTGAAGATGTATTTCCACCATTTTGAAACCATGGGTGTAAGCAATGGTTCGTACTTGGGAAGACGGCAGAAAGCAGAGAAAAAAAGCGGTCTAAACGATGGTAGGTTCGTACGTTGGAAGATGGTAGAAAGCAGGATTACTGGTATGCAGCAATCCGGCGGGGTAAACTACTCGCTACTGCCGGCCTGCCGGCGCACCTTGTATTTATTCTTGATATCCCCTCGGAAGTTGAAGAGCGACAGAAAGCGCTCGGCGGGGCGGCGCATTATCGTCACGAAGGCCGCCCCGGGCACCAGCTCCTCCAACACGCCGTACGGGGTGTTCGGCGTCACGTGTCGAAGGCTTATATCGAACGCCTGGCCCTTGTCGCGCCGGGAATCGAGCTCCCCCCGCCCGAACCAGCCGGTGGCCTTGGGGTGCAAGAAGTAGGAGCGTCTCTGGTGGCCAACCTAACGACACGGATTGGCGGCAGAAAGAGTATCCCAGCAGACGGTTGTTGCCATCTAGTGTCCGGGTTATCGACTGAGGAAGAGGGCCGAGCGCGAAGGGGCCATTCGTTCCACGAATTGTGCTAGGGGGCGCCCCCGCCACCCCATGCTGCTATCACGCCAGTCGACTAGCCAGTCGACTACGCAACAGGAGTAGTGGCCAAAGGGTGCAATGCAGCAGTCGGTCCAAGTTTCTAGCGCATGCGCCGAATAGCCATGAATCTGTGTGGATTCTCTGCGTTGTAGTACCCAATGATCGGACTGGCTCGGGAAAAGCACTTCCAGCTGGGGCACGCACCGTGGCATGGAAAGGATGAAACCCTCTACACGTGCGCACATTTCCCTCTCTCCAACTCGTTGCTAACGTGACAACGTACACACCACCATATATGAGTGTTAGATACACAGAGATATCGTCTCGTCCGAATGTGTTTGTGTCGGAGATCATCCATATATGTGCCGGGTACCCGTGTCGAAAACGAACGTGGTGCTTCATCTCTCTTAATTCGCTCGCGCGAAAGTATACAGGGGTGCGTGTGCATTGACTTCATAGACGCACACGTGACAGCCTATCGCCACCGATGCGCGTGCCTCTCTTTCCCAGTCGTCTTCTGTTTTGACTAGCAAAAACAGATGCTGGGCAAAAACGATGTTTCTACGTAGCACCCCGCCATACTGTACATGTGAAACAACGGTAAGCAACGTAACGGGTGTTGCTGCAAAGAGAGATGATGGCAGGTATCAACCGAAAAAGCAAGCCGGCGCACAGGCGCAGCCGGAAACAACGGTGGTCAAAACCGCACCTGCGCGATGTAGGTCGCCAGTGTGGTGCTCCCTGTCTTGAAGGATTTGATCAACACCAATCCATCACCCGTGCCACTCTGATGGCGGTGCTGCTGCTCATCACTCTCATCCCACTGGCCGCGATCTCGACCACAAGATGCGCAATCGCTCATCGGAACTCCTCGGAGCTCGGTACGTTGGGTGCTTCCGTCGTTATTGATACCGTCATCGTCGCCGGGAGACCTCCTGGACCATGTATGCCGTGTGCCGCAGATCACACCAGCGCGAAACGTAATCGTCGTGAAACGAAGTGATAGGGTCAAAGCACGTAGTACAGCAGTAAGTTGTGCAAGATCTTGCATTGCTGCACCCAATCATGATTCATCCCTTGCGACTGGCTTATCCTAGCCGGAGAAGACGCAGCGTGTCTGGCTCCCGGAGGCAGCGTTGTACTTCCTTCCGTCACACGCGTCTTACGTATCCAACCCTCGACAGCTGGAGCATACGATAAATGTGCCTCGAGCACCCAGATGTGCCCACAGTACGGCGACATCACACAAGCATGTCACCCCCCCCCTGCTTCTGTCGTTTCAAGTTGGAGATTCTCCGCACCTTTTCCATTAATGGTCAGATGCCCCAAGTTTGTCCTACAGCAGATATTGTCTGGGAATCGGCGGAATCAATGGGTAATGGCATCTCCGCTCACATGCTCGTCCCGCCAATGCGCTTGCCCTCCTTGAAGTTATGTCGCAACCACGACAGTACGACGATGGTCAACCCTGTTGCCCAGACCTGAGCATGATCCGCACACCGATCGCAAACGCTCACAGGATGAACACCTGCATCGTAAACCAGACCCGCTACGCAGGTCTAACGCCCAAAGGTACCATGATAACATAGCATATCTGTACAGGTGGGGTGCCTCCGCGCACCGCTGGTCGTGGCCGCTTGATCGGCAGCCAAAAGCCAACCTGCAAGGCTGGTGTTTGGTTTGGTCGCCGACCGTTACCGCGGCGGGCATGCTGCTGCTGTGTGCCTATCGACGAACTGTGTTCATCGACGAGAATGGGGATCGTGTTTCGCTCACCAGGCGTCTGCGGGCCGACGACATACGCGCCTCCCTTGCCGGCATCGGTCTGCCCTTCGTTGTCGCCCACTGCAGCCCTTCCAGCAGCCCTCGCGCACGCGTTCTTGCACAAGGAGCACAACGAGCAACATTGCGAGCAAGGTGGGGGGGCAACGCGAAAGACGGCCTCCCTCACGCGTTCTCCATTTTTGTTCGGAGTCCCCCCACCGTCGTCAAAAAAAGATACCACCATGACACGAAAACAACAACAACAACAACAACAACAACAACAACAACATCCATATGGTACTAACTAACCGACGAAATAGGGATCTCTTTTTCTCACGTGAGTACCTGGAGCTGGCACATTGCTTCATCCAGGAAGCGCCTAACGGCCAAGCGTCCAGAGAAAGGAAGGCGATGCCACCTACCGCAGCAGCAGCAGCTGTAAAGAACATCTCCGACTTTTTTGTGATCTTCGGAGAATTGCGGAGAACAGGGAGGGGGCCCACCATGCGGACAGAAAAAGCAGGCGGGGGATAAGCTAAACCCAAAGACTGCTGCTGGTGGCTGTCACCTCGACAGATCGAGACTGCTGGACAGCTGCTGTGTCGTCAACCACCACGTCCTATTACAGCGTGAGTTGTTGGGAATCGACTCACGGACTTTGCCTCGTCGACGAGATGTTGAGTGGAAGAGACGATGGAGAACGGGATCCGCTCGGATCGCTCAGTCTCTCGATCGGTCGTGCGGATACATGTGTATCTCGAAGCTCTTCGCCGCCGTGCCTTTTTGTACTGCCGGCTGTGCGTATTTTCGAAACCCCTTGGAAGCGTTAAGCGAGAGCCGGGGCGGATCCTGGAGGGGGCAAGCCGTGTCACCCAACTCCCATCTCTTCCCGCTTTTTTTTTTTGCTTGCCAGAGAGAGTGGCGGCGTCCTGCGAGGGCACACAACGCGATCGCAGCTTGGTCGGCTGCTGGCTATCTTCAGAGAACCGCCGCCCATCGATCCTGTTAAGAAGGAAGATCTTCCACGGGAGAGGGGAAAGATCGGAGAGGGGAAAGTGGAGCAAAAATAGAGGGGCGAAGCAGGTGTGTGTTTTGTGCGTTTGTGTGCTTTTTGTGGGGAGAGGTGTGCCATTGTGGGGGAAACGAAAGAGGGAAGAATGCACCAACGAAATCGAGAGGAGAGCGCGCTCCGGCCTTTGTGAGTTTTCAGCTGTGCCAGCACCTCCAACCATGCACATGCACAGCTTTGTACCACGCCGCGGGTGCGTGCTCCGCTCTCACACGAGGCTGCCGGTCGAATCAGTACGGACACTCCAACATGCGTGCCCGCTGCCAATGTCGACCGTGATCCTGTGTCTCATTTTGCTTGTGGCCAAACATCCTCAAATCCAAGCCGGTGACTCATCAAGTTGATCACAACCCGCAGCTTGCTTGAAAAGGGCCAGCGATGTTGCCCGACCCGATTTCTCTACTTTTATCTGCGTCTGTCACGCTCTCTGTGCATGCCACTATCCTGCATGGCGAATCGCTGTTTCGGACGATACATTTGTCTCTCTTGAACTGCATCACGTGTGCCCCAACTCGATGTGTTTGCTGTTCGGCGGATGAGTAGAGACATGCCGCTGGATTGTGCCGCGATAAAGGGTGCTCGTCAATCGATCGTGATTTTGCTGGTGTAGAAGGATCGAAGGATCGAAGGTGCACGCAGCAATCATACACTCCATGTCGGAAGTGCCGGCGCAAAAATAATCCATGAGTTGTCACATGGAGCAGCGGTTGGGGCTTGTCAGCAACAATACTATTATATAAATAGTCTACAACCGCACGCCTTCTTCAAAACAAGACAATAAAAAAAGCACTTCTGCTGTATAGTCTATTCAAGACACAACAGCGACACAGCAGTACCATTAGGTGCTCTAAAGACGTCTTTGCGCTGCGGAGTCCCGACTTGGATATCTGTACCAGCAGGGGAGATCATGGAGCAGCTAAATACGTCTTGGCATGCCCATTTTGCTGGCGACTTTTCGTCGAAGGTTGCAGCTGCGGTCCGAACAGTCCGTCAATCGAGGTCCATTCAATGCACGATCCACTGCTGTACGACCCGGCACGGACTCAATCCCTCGTAAGCTGGTGCAGTAGTAGTAACTGAGCTGCCTAGCATGACCCGCAGTTCGGGGACTGCATCTGTGACACCACGCGTACAGCAGTGGATCGTGAATGGTGTCGGCCAAGATTGCCGAATTTTCGGACCGCAGCAGCAGCTCTCGACAGCACGGCCCCAGCAGTGGTCCCGCGCGTGCCAGCGCGATTGCCGCTCCTCCACAATCTCCTCTACTGGGAGATGTTCAAGTCGGATCTTCACAAGCCGAAAGGCCATTTCGTTTTTTTTTTCGATGCAGATTTGAACTGAAAATTTTAGTTGGCAAGAACTCCTGAGCAGGGTGTATGTTGGCAATAGTGTTGGCCGGGCTGCAGCTGTGCTTGTGCTTGATGCCTTTCTCAGCGCTTGCCGGTATATCGCGGTGGCGCCATCAAACTTGACGCGTGCACCAAGGCCGTCATAGGAATTGAAGAGTACTGCTGCGTTACAGTCGAGCATGCGTCCACCGTTTGGTCATCAATCGTTCACCGTTTGGGAGAAAAACAAATATAGATAGTGAGCATTAGTGCCGGTTCGGTTGTTGGCGCATTGCTGTTCCAACACGCGTTCTGGTTGTTCCACATTCAGGCCCTGCCTTTGACACCTTCCTCTCCCGCCTCATCTTCTCCCTCTTGACCCTCTTTTGTTTTGATGCAGGGCCATCGAGAACCTCTCTGCGTTCCCGAACGTCCCGATTTTTCGAACCCCAGATCGGTTTCCCGATGACGCCCTGGTCCGGCATCTGCTCGATGGTGGCGCTGTGTGCCGCGGTTGGCTGCTTCCGGCTGCTACTCATCCTCAGCCGGCACGTGTCACTGCTTGTTGGCGCTGCATCCAAAGTGCTCGACAACAACGAAAGCAAGAGGGGGCGCAAGCGCATGCGTGATCTTAGCCTTACCGGAACCAGACCAAGGTCCGCGGGGGCTCACCAGACCAGGAGCCGTGTCGACCCCCAGGGCTCTGTTTTCAGCGGCAAGTTCGAGAAGATATGGCTGGCTTTCGACAACCTTCTCCACCGCGTGGCGGTGGTGGAGAATGACGCGAATGTCGAAAACGATGCGAACCTCTTGAAGGGAAATCTTTCCGCCGCGATCGAGGATGCCGTCGCCGGCGGCATCGCGGCCGCAGAGCAGAAGATGGCGCTGGCCTTCCAGGCCAAGATGGCACAGGCCGTCGTGAACGAGATGGGGAAGCGGCGCGTGATGCAGGAGGGCCGGGAGGCGTGGTGGCAGAGGAAGTTCGACCTCGAAGAGAACAAGCTTGGCACTGCGCTCGCCGCCGCGGTCGCTTCACACGAGGACGCCATGGCCGCTCGCCAAAGGAAGTACGCGGCAACCTTCAACTCCGTCCGTGACGACGTCCTCCAGCTGAAGGAGCAAGCTGCCGACAACGCCGCGGGGAAGGCGGCCGACGACGCTGCTGCAAGGGAGAAGGCGGCGACGGCCAATCTCCTCCGCTCCATTAGCGCGACGCACCAGAGGCAGCAGGAGGCGGTGATGGCGCTGCAGCAGGAGGTGCGGGAGTGCCTGGCGCGGAGGAAGGTGGAGGAAGTGTCTTCGGCGTCCCGTGGCGACCGGCCGAGTGTTGCTGCGGAGGCGTCGCCACGGCCGCCGTCGATGGAGGACACGACCAAGCTCCGCAACGTCAAGAGCGACCTAGACTCTCTCGGAGCCCGCCTCCTTGCCCTCGAGAACGCGGGAAATGGCTTGGTGAGCCCGCGCAGGCTGAACAGGACCCTCCACAAGGTCCACGAGAGCGTCTTGGAGTCGATCAGGGTCTGGGGGGAGGAACCGCTCGTCGGCCCTGTGTACACGGCATGGGTGCTCAGGAAGATCAAGAAGGACAGCTCGAAGACAGGGCCGGGGGCGGGGGACGAGGGAGACGAGAACACGACGCCGCGCGAGAAGAGTGAGGGGGGATTGGGAAAGGGAGGCTCTACGACGCAAGAGGGCGAGGGAGACGGCAGCGCGTCCAACGACTGCATGTCTGGTGGGGGAGAGGGAGGACAGGGCCGTGCCCCCAGCACCTAGAGCGGCAGTGATTTGTACGTTTTCCTTTTTGATTTGTCTGATGGAGCACCGGCCGGTGGGTGATGAGATCTTCGCCACTACCCGCTTGATGATGAGGCTAACGCTGTGCTCTTCGTGTGGTTTGTGTTTGTGGCGTTGGTTGTGCATGTTCCGTGTGTGAGTCTTGCAATTGCTTGACTATCCACCCAGCAGACGTACGGTTGACCTCTTGGTGTTCTCCCTTAGATTTGGCGCTCAGTTTCGTGATGTTGCATTTCTAGTAGACCAATCAGAATTGTTTGGCTTGTTGCGCGAGGTCGGTGTCCAGGACGGAATATGTTGATCTCGCGGGTTGCTGATGATTTTCTAGCAGGAATTTGGGACTGCATGGTTGAGGGCGGCGCCGGCTCACTCGACTATTGTTGTTCGTTTACAGTAGATTTTGTGCGTAACGGGGACGGGCGGCAACATTGCCGGTGTCAAGGCGTGCAATCTCTTTTTCATTGTTTTTGTGCTTGGCAGATGCGGCGAAGACTATGTACCTCGGCCGTTATTGTCCTGTCCTTGATGTAACATTCTGCTAAGTCTGTAGATGCACTTCGTATATTTTGTTGTTTGGTGACTTTTCTATTCGTCTGTGCACTTCGTTGGTCAGGCCAGTCGGGCAGAAGGTTTTTTCCTTCTCAATTCGCGTTGACAGATTGCAGAAAGACCGGACGTACTTTTGTTCAAGCTTGCGTGCGCCTGGCGTTGGATTTGCACTGAGGCTCGTGGTGGGACCGTGTCTGTTGGTGTGTTCGACCTGATTGATGTCCCATTTCGTGCGCAACGCAGGGACAAAGCGTTTTGTTACTGCGCGCATGGGTACCCGGTTGTTGTTCTGCCAGGTAGTTGTGTTAGAGCTGCTAGCCGGCAGTATTAGAAAGGCTGCATCTGGGTTTAGTCAAATGAAATATTCAGGAACCCCCCCCCCCCCCGAAACGCCACACCGGTACGAACCACACCGCTCCGTTGCCCGTATGTATGCGGAATGATTTCGATCAGCCGTGAGTGTGAAACCGCTGTTGCCACCCGCAGTCATTGACTATAGACTAGTGTGGGTGATTTTTCTGAATACAGCACTTCACCTCGTCCGCATGGTACATGTCTCAGTATCGATCACCTGACACAAAGGATTGAGTCTCACCCTGCCTGGACTATCCACAGGCGCGTGCTTACGGGGTGGATCCATATGTTCACTGCCTTGGTAGCCCTGCGCCACAGCGAAACACTTGCGCTGGGTTGTGGTGAAATGGGCAACGATAGCAAAGTGCCATAATGTGCAGAAGCCAACCTGCGTAGCCAGGGCGCAAGCAAGGACGTCACCGGCAACCCTCCTCCTGTAGAGTCGGGGCGACTCGCACAACGAGCTAAGAAAAACATGTACTTCATGAAGTAGTACAGAAGGTCTGGGCACAGTTATTTCAGTACTCATACATATGGCGGGCTCCGCAAGCCACGCCAAGAGTACCGATCGCGTGAGGTGTATATGTCGAACACGTAATCGTACTGCTTGTCCAGGGATCTCAGGAGAAGCTTCTAGAGAGTGAACAAGAGAGCTGCCAGAGCTCGTACACGCAAATCGTCTCCCGTTAATTTCTCTCTCTCCCCCCTCTTGTATAATGCCTTCGCATTGCAAGCGGAAATCCCTCCATGTTGGAAATGCCCCCAATCAAGCGGTGATCTGTGCACACGTTCTTGCTCACTTCTGCCTCCCACTCTGGCCCCATTTCCACCGACTAAGACAACCTCTTGTCCCTCCAGAGGCCACGCTATCCTTACCCCGCACAATTGGAAGACCTGTTCCTCTGGCCGAAGATGGATGATGTGCAAGAGCATCATTCGGCCACCGAGTGCGATGTGGAGAGACAATGTGACAGCAGCAGAGGTGGACCAGCCGAAACCAACGCTACAAATATTGCATCCAGCCTGAGCGAGCGCATCGAGCTGCTGGACGGGGAAACCAGGTGCTATGATTGTGCAACGTCCTGATGCAGCATCCTGTGCCTCGGTGGCGGGCACACGCGGCGTAATCGATACCATTCTGGACTTTGTGAGACGCTCGCAAGCCTCCATGCGTAGATGTTGGCTGAACTGCCGATAGGTCGGTCGCGCGCAGTTGGTTCTGTCGTCTTCACCATTTTCGACTCTACACGACGTACGCTGCAAGCAAGCATAGCCTCGAACATGTGTGGAGATTTCCTTGCAAATGGCTGAACTTGCAATCACTCTCGTTGTACATGGATGAATTCTTCAAGCATGACATACTTGCTGGACTTGTCAGTAGCGTGAACGGGTCAGCCACAACCTGTTCACGCCGCTTTCCATCTTGCATGGTGTCTCCATGGACACTCCAAATGGTTTGACCACCTCGAGCGCTGAACGTTGAAGAGTTCTCTGAGGTGTTGACCCCATCCAACACAGTCGGTCATTCACTCCTGTGTCCTGTTCTAGGCAGAGTTTCTCGATATGCTTTGGCACGCTCACAACACATGCACAGGTCATGCTGGAGGCGTGTTGGCGAGCTGGAAGACGAGGAGGCTTCCCTCAACCACCGGCTGATGAGGCTGGAGAAGATCCGCCGTGGCGAGCGCCTCGAGGTTTGACGCTAATCACCGAGAAAACATCTCGAACCTTTCTACGGTGGTTTCATACGCTCATACCGACTCTCGGGCGGTATGCTGCGCAGTTACCGGCATTGGTGCATCTTCTGGAGCCGAGAAATAGCGCCCGATTCATAACCAGACAACTCAGCTATAAGAGCTCACAGTGAATGTCGTTTGCCCCTTGCTACACACACCACACCTTGTACCCGGATCATACGGAAAAGATCCTGGGGCTAGAGCAGGTCTGCCAAGCCGCCGAAGTCGCAATGCTGCAGGCCCAGGACGAAGGTGCCCACCTGGACGCCAAATCCCAGATTCTAGAAAATTTGGCCGAGGACGAGGCTGAGGATGCTGCAGCTGGCAACCACGGGGCCTCGTTCCCGGCTTCCTCAGGAACCCACCACGATGCTTTGCCTGCTTCTTCCCTGCCGGATAGTGGTGGTAGAGTTGGCAGCAACGAGGGCAAAGCCGAGCCGCCCACAAGGTACTGTCCAGCAGAAAAAATATATATACGGCATTTAAAAAAATATTATCTTGCACCACGTATTCATTCGCCAGAGGCCGAGGCTGGTCGCCACCTATAGATTACCGCGCAAATCGTCATCTAAAAAATAGTCCAATCGAGTGGCTCCAGCGTCTCCTACTGCTATTTGGGCGCTTGAACGCATCTGTCAACAACCTTTCTGTTCGAGATCGTGAGAACGACAGACGGTGGTTCGAAATTCATTCTTTCGGTCGAAGTGAAAGTTGGTGCTTGCCCTCAATGAAATACGGACGCAATGAGTGTCCCGGATGACGCACCCACCCAGCCATATCACAGGTAGTATGTAGACCTGTACAAAGTCTAGGGCCCTATTCAGCGCCGACATTATACCCCGCTGCTGCGTCGTAGGTGGCTTTGAATTTTCTCTTGTTGGGGATTCGAATACTCATTGGTCATATCCTGCGCAGGTGTGAAGGTTTTGCGGACCTGGTGGCTGCTCTGAGTGAGGTGCCTGCCCACGAGAAGAAGCGCCAACAACTGGCGTCAGTGTTGCAGCAGACCGAAGATCAAACACGGAGCGAGATCGCCGAAGCTGCTCGCTCGGCCGCCGGGTTCAGGCAAGACAAGACGGAATTCAACAGTTTTATCGAAAAAGCTCCTTGGCCCAAGATATCGCAACCTTGTGTCCTCCTCCCCTGCATCGAGTCCGCAGCGGCGGAACACGTCTGTCTCCGCGTCTCGACGGTGCAACGAACCCTGTGTAGTCCGGGTTAGTCCGAAAGACGAGCGAGTGACTCACATACAGTAGGTGTCCCGATATAGTGCCTGTATGTGTCTAGGTTGGTTGACCGGCACTATACCGGGCACTGGCACTATTCAGAATTGTGCCTGAATAGTGCCGGTTTGGCACTATTCAGGGCCTAGGGCCTGAAAATCCCTCCATAGTGCCGGCTTCGCACTATTCAGGACTGTTCGACTTCAGAGTGCAGCGCTTGCGCTTTGCGGGGCAGACAGAGTACCAAACGAACGGTATTTGGATCAATCGTGAGGTGGGCGACGTGGGCGGGCTTCATGAAGTTTCGTGAGGCTCTTGGACTGTCGAAAACACGGCATTGGTTACCTTAAAATTAACTTGATTGACCAGAGAGATTTGTTGCACAGCAGTTGTTCTCTTCCCACCTCAGCGCAAGCACTCGCTGCTAGTGAAACGTTGCTCCTGCCTTTCAACCGTAGACCGTGCTGCCCGATAAAAGTTCACCTCGCTATCAAATTATTATGTGTTTGCAAGAAGGCCGTAGCACTGTTCAGGTAACCTCAAAGGCACCCCTCGACAGCGAAAGAAAGACCCTCATGCACGCACCCGATGTACATTTGGAGGTAAAACATGGATGGATGTAGTACTCCTTACATGAGCACACAAAAGCAGATGCAGCCTAATAAAGGGGTGAAGAAGATCACGAACTCCCCTGTTCCTTCGATGAAAAGCTAGAGGGAAGACCAAGCCTTCAGAAGCAAGGAAAACGACTGGCCAACCAAAAGACGTCAGTCTCACCAAGAAATGGCCTGTCAGTGCGGTCAAAAACAGAAAATATTTGTTTCTCAAGGCCATGAGAGGGCGTTATGGAGGAGGCTGCGCTATTCTCTGGATAAAAGACAGAAATGATAGCAACAGAGAGAGGAGAACTACGTGACTGCCAAGGCTTACTACTTTGAACACGCGCGTTCGTTTCGGAATGTTTTCATCCTTCCTTAGAAATATCTTATTTTCCACCACTCACTACTAATAGACTCTTCACTAATGTTTTTCCACTTCGGCTCTCATCTCTAGATTCTGCGCCCCTGCGGCGTTTGTTGTGAGGAAGGTCATCTCGCTCGAAACTCTTGTTGTTCACCTCAACGCCATATTTTCCTCCTGCATCATCACTGCTGCCCTTGGCTATGTTTCCCATATCCTTCGTCACTACCACCATCTTCCTTTTCGCTCGCCTCACTACTGAAATCCCAGCCTATTGGTGGAACCTGGTCGATCGGTATACCGTGACATTTGAAGACGTCACGCGTACCGAGAGAAACCGAGCTATACTTGTAGCTCGAAGGGAAACCGTCTCCGAATTTTGTTGGCGTGGAAGGTTTGAGGCGACAAAAGACTGTGTGTGGGGTCTGAACCGGCACTATTGACGGGTTCGATAGTGCCTGGACCGGCACTATAGCGGGCAGCCCTGAATAGTGCCAAACCGGCACTATTCAGGCCTGTGCCTGTATCGAGAAGTTTTACCAGCACTATACCGGACGTTGGCACTATTCAACCGGCAATATATCGGGACACCTACTGTATTGGCCTGGCAAGACGTCCTGGGTGTTGGTGTGTCGTGAATATGTTGCCTTACTTTTTTCGTTTCTTTTTATTTGTGACCAGACGAATGGCGAAACAACGAGATGCGGAACGATTACCTCTGGAACGCGAAACCGCCATCCTCCGCCAGGAGCTTGCTGAAATGACTTCGGAGGAAGAGGTAAGGACACAAAACACCGTATGATATCTTCTCGAACTCCGCTGCAAAGTTTGAAGTGCTACTGTACGATCTTCGGTCCTATGCACCTGTCAAGAAACCCTGGTCATCAGGAGAGTGAATCTGCGCGAAATATTCTGCGATTGTTGAGGGCTTGAAGATTGAAAAGGCTTCAATATTCGGGGCAGCGATCAACGGGGATCACTACGACTTTCACCGTCTCACGCTAGCGCTTGCGTTGATGGCGTGCTGATTCCGGGAGTATGAAACGGCGGCGTGCCCACCTGTGTACATTCTACAAGCGCGATGATCGATAGGGTCGTGTAGAACGAGCGCAGACTACTACTGTAGTCTATGCCCACGCGAAGATTCTGAAAGTTAGACTAGCCCGCGTGTGAATTCTTTACATCAGCAGAATACTAGCGTGACCTCCGCTACACGTGACACGCACGGCAGATCGTGGAGACACACATACTCACTTTACTAAAGTTTTGTAAACCGTCGGCCTGCTACTTGTCTCTACTTTCGGAATGATTACAGCTTCAGGCTAGAGCCGTTCGAGCGCAGCAGATCGGCGAAGGCGTGAAGCGCCGTCTACACCATGCCACCAACAAGCTCACATCCGTTAGAAATGATCTTGCACAGGCAAGTGAGTGTCTCCACGTGCAATTGTACGTACGTTTATTGCCTGTTCCGCGGCAACTGAACACCAACAAAGGCGCCCCCTGGAAGCCACACCGCTGAAAATTGTGTTCCAGGTCTTAGTCTACACAGTCCCCAGGCTCTTCCGGGATTACGGTGTGTGCGACCCGCAACTCACGTACCCAGGCTATTCGCAGAACGCTACGCGGGAGGTGATTCTCCCTCATTCCGTACCAAACCAAGGCGGTGGGGTTGGGCGTGATGCACAACATCTGGCCTCGTGCCGTGCCTTCCCCTCAAACGCTCCGATATATCCTGAACAACGCATTGTAATCAATTGAAGAGTGAGTTAGAAGGGACAATCAGTTCATGGGATTGGAACAGAACTCCTATTTCCCGTGTGCCTCCCATCAAGCGAACAGGGACCGTCCAAGCACATGGAGGAGGAAGAGCGCACGAGCCTCGAGCTCATGCAAGGCATCGCCGAAACCAAAGCACGCTTGCGCTCGCGGAAAGGTGTGTCGGACACGGCCAATTGGTCGAGAAGCAACAGTATCAACCGCGGCGGTGTAGGCAGCGTCGTAGGCGACGGGAGGGGGGCATCGACGCCAGGCTCCATCCCACCAAGGCTAGAGATGCAGCCGTCGAAGGGAAGCATGAACAGGGCCAACCGTCAGTCGAGCGGCCGCCACAACAATTGGGGAGCAGGGTGGTCGTGACGGAAGCTCGGTGCTGTGTACGTGGACGGAGTTCCCTCTGTTAGACCGTGAACTCGAAATCTTGTGTACCACAAGGTCCATGTTTCATCTCTGGCGGGGCATGATTTGAGGACAACCCCACATGGAATGACGCGCTGGTATTTCCCCCCACGTCCTGGCATCGGAAGGAAGATAGGCTACCAAGTGAACCACCGGGGCGACAGCTAAACACCGGATGCATGTAGACTTTGTCGTTTGTCTCCAAGCCCCAACTGTGTAGCGACACGATCAGTGGCTCTCAACGAGGAAGATTTCCTTTCCAACAAGGCAGCCACGGCCTCAAGCATATCCGGTTAGGCAACCGCGCCACCCGCGCATCGCAACAACAGCGAGCAGGATGCGTGATCCGCCAGAAGAAGCCCGCGTACCTGAGTCGTGAATTCTGTGCCGCTTGGGGAGAGACGTGAACAATCCTCTAACGTCGGTTTGCGCTGGTGGGGTAGGCAGCATCAGCCAACGGAAACACTTAAGCAGCCAACACCCAACGTGGCATGAGCCGCTCAAAAAGGCCAGACAAAAAAATAGCTCTGTGGCTTCATGTGGGAACACGCACAACCAAAGGGGTAAACTCCACTCGTGCAATCAAGACATCCGCGAATAATCTATTTGCTCCTCGAAAGTGAAACAACATGCTACGTCGCACTATTTGGCGTCCGCTTCTCGTGGTCCTTGAGCTCTCGTCCCAGCAGGGTCTGAAGGAGCACCTTGTCGGCCATGTCGTGCCCCTGGATAAAGTAGTAGCTGCCGGCGGCCTTGAAGGACACAAATGGTCTCGATGTGTTGGGCATGGGCTCCACCTGAGACAACAGGGGAGGATAAAAATTACATCACATACAAGTCAGAACACGAACAGATTAAGAGAGACAATGTAAGCACATAAAAAAAAAAAACTAGCTGTGTTTTTTCCCAGCAGCCTCCACACGCATGGTACGTTTTATACCCTTAAGGCGAGGCGGTGTATGCACGAAATCACCCATTAGCAAACAACTATCCTGTCAGTCCCCGGCGTAACCCAAGTGCGAAATGCAACAGCAAGCGGGCGACTTTGTCTCTATTTCTGCCTACTGTACACAGACATGGGCTCGACGGCGCCAGTGAACGTTGTTCATTGCACGTCTCTGGAGACTCATTCGACAGAAAAGTAACCAACCGTGTGCAGCCAAACTAAATCATCGACCAAGATGTTCAGTCATCCATCGATCCGCACCTCATCTATCGAAAACTCGGTGGTTCTTCGCACCCCGAAGATGTTCATCCGCTCCACACGAAATCGCCGGCCCGACAGCTTCGGCATGCCGTACCGGTTCTTCTTGTTTCTTGGTTTCTTGCGAACGTCACCGTCTTCTCCCTGGGCGACTCCCCCCTCGTATATCTGAAAACAAGCAAGGGGAGGTCGAAACGACAAATATTGACAAACACAATCGGATCTGGCCGAGGGTTGGCCGAGGCACATCCCTCTTCCTCCGGAGAAGGACCGTGGCCAAAAAAAGGTACTCCGCTCTCTAGGCTCGGGCAGAAATCAATGCCCAACGCAGGAGCGTCGAACGTGCGCTTATAATGTGAGAGCTTTTATCGAGGGCTTTCCAAACATTTATGGAAGGTGTCACTAAAAAACGTTGCTGCACACAAGTATGCATACTGAAAGGGACGACAAGTACACTGGTACGAACGCTTGAGGCCGAAAAAGCCCCAAAGTTGGGGTGATGGCATTCATAACGTTCATGTCCACAGGGAGGCAAGTATTCTATTATTTAGTACCATGCAACCCGTCGCTTGGCCTAAATCATGGTCGCTTTGCCGACGCACAGCTCGTTTTACCTCAGCCATTCGAAACACGTAGGGACTGACACAGAGGTTCAGGAGGAGCGTCGAGCTGCCGGTTCCCACCAAGGCCGCGCTCATCACAGCAACTTGTCCTGCCACCGGCACGCTCTCCTTGCCATACATCACCAGGGCCGGCACCGCCAAAATGCTGACGAGGCACGTCGCTATCGACACCCTGATAAAAACACAGTTGGTTCAGGCAAAACAGAAAACAAACACAACAATTGATTCGGCAACGCGGGCGAGAATGAAAGATTGACCAGGCGGAATGACTGCTTACCGTTGGGTAGGCATAGAAAAACAAAATAAAACACGATCAGGGTCGATACGCCAACATTGCAGGCGTACAGGTGGAAAAACGCTTGTCTCAACGTCGCTTCCACCCAGCCGTTGATCTCTGCATGGCCTGCATCGGAAACCACACAAAGTTGGAATATTCAGTACCTACAGCGACTCCCTCGTCAGGCAAGCCAGGACTTTCACCGCGGTGCCTGGCACATGCTTGTTCTCATATCGAATGCGTTGGCATGCAAGCGTTGGTATAGCGCTAGCTTACACAGTAACAGTACACAAATGCGAGGTTGTTCCCTGCTCCACACTGCCCGAAAATGGCGAAGCACACGGCGATAAAGCTCATTCAAGAAATCTTCACATGTGCCGGTATACACTCTTTCGCCTGCAAACAACGCAACAGGCACCAAGGCGGGATTGGCAGTCCGTGGTGTACCCAGATACGACGGAAAACCTCTCGGCGCGGTCAAAACCCCTTGTACCTTTTCAGCCCTCTGACCGGGTGAGCTAGGGACCCTTCGTAGATGAGCTTCCCGCGGTTGCCCCACTGGTCCTTCCTGGTCTCATCGGAGACCTGTTCAACCTCGGCCTTCGCCTCCGACGCCGTCTTGTCGTCGCCTTCGGCGCTCTTCGTGCTGAAGGAGGCTCTTGTCAAGAGGGGAGGATAGCGGGAAAGGCGGCACAGCAGAGGCGCCGTTTTCGAATTGCCTCGCAAGCATTGCAGCCCTGCCAGCGATGACGCGAGCGAGCGAGCACTCGATGGCGCTGCAGCAGCTTGGCGGGAGAGGGAACTCACACGAAGGAGCACAGAAGATGCCTGCAGGCAGGTAGGTAGCAACCAGACAATTTTTCGGTCGGGATGGCGGCGGTGATGGTCAGGAATAACTCATGTGGCAAAAGTTCGACGGCGAGTGATGATTTCGAGGGCCGGGCTGTGTGCGCGAGGCTGGGTGGTTCGGTACCTGCTCCGCTGTCGGCGGGCAATGTAGCACCTCAAACCGCCTCGGGCTCATATTTCAAACTGCCAATTTGCTTCACTGTCAAGAGTGTCAGTGTTGCGGAATGGCAGTTTTTTGGAAACCTCTCGAAAACCTTTTCCAACACCGTCCGTTGGCACCAGCATTCTCATTCTCCTTAAAGGGATGCCGAGCCTTGACCCTCCTAGTGCCCAGTTGGTTACAGCTTAGGCTCCAGAGAGATCGAGTTCCGCTCAGTCCCAAGGGTCGAAGGCTGACTTGGCTTCAGCATGGAAGTGTCCCCAAATGCACTGGGGACACTTTCTACACTGGAGCAAAGTCAGCAATTTTTTCCTGTACTAGGCTAATGTATGTACTCTAGGTTTACCAACAAGGGGACCCGCGGCTTGGGAGATTGTGTACAGTATGTCAGACGCCCAGTTGAGGCACATAGGCATCACACAGCGAACCACCTGACACAGGCATGCTAGACCAATGTTTCCCACCGCACGGTTCACGAGGCGGAGCGTAGCGACGACCACGGTGCGGTAAACAGGCATTTGAGCGCGGTGCGCCCAGCGTGTCCCCATTTGGGCTTCCAGTACTAGGAGCACCAGGAGGATCCTAGCACTGAAGCCCAAATGGTTAGGAGGGCCCAAAAACAAAACATAAAACTGGGAGAGAAGTAACCAGAAACAGGGAACCCGGGTGGATTATCACCATTTCAGGGCACACTTGGAAATCAACACGACACCAATCTCCGACAGCATCCGCCGTAGATCGCGGCGAAACCAATAAACCGCTGTCTGTGTCCTGTGCCTCGGAAGCATGATGCACGAGGCAGGTCGTGCCCGTTTTTCTCTCTCTCTCCGTGCCTCTCTCTCTCTCTGTGCTTTTACCGATCAGCACCAAGGGTGCACAAAAAAAAAAAATTCCGACACCTAACCCTACCCCCCCCCCCCCCCGGGAGGGGTGTAAAAAAAATTTTTTTTTTTTGAAAATTTTCTTACAGGCTTTTTTTTGGGTTTCTCCTTCTCCATTGGGGGGGCTTGCGTGGGGGGGGGTTCACCGGACCACGTGCAAAGAGGACCTTGTTACTAAGAAAGGAGGTGTAAATTTCCCCGTCATGTACTGAAAAAAACTGTGGGGGGGTGGGGAAACTCTTATTTGGTTTTTAAGTCTTGAAATAAAACAATAATGCTTGGGGACAACCCCCCAGCTACAAATAGCTTAAAAATTTTCTAGCCTCTGCGACAAGTCCACGACGTTTGGCCTCGGTCGAATGTAGCGAAATGACACAACCAAATGACACATACCCATGCGTCGAACCGTCATCATTCCAAGCTTAGTCAAGCCGGCAACATACCGAAGAGGGGCTGTCGATGAGCCTACGGCGGTGGAATCACCTTCGCCACGTGCAACACCCATCCACAAATAATAGCAATTTGTCTTGCATGGTACTTATTATTCACTCCCCGAAGCCCCTCCCCCTCCCTCAACAAGACTAAACCGCCGTTTCTTCGAGCGCTTTCGCGTTGAGCGCCTTCGCCCTTCATCCTCTTCCCCCCTCACCCCCACCCCATCCTCCTCCTCCTCCTCCTCCTCCTCCTCCTCCTCACTCCTCCTCCTCCTCCTTCCTCCTCACCTCCCCCTCCTCCTCCTCCTCCTCCTCCTCCTCCTCCTCCTCCTCTTCCGACCCCGAGCTCTCATCTTCAACCGAGTCCCCCGTCTCCACTGAGGACTCGTCTGAGAGTGACCCGTCTGTACCATCAACCCCCTCCGCCCCCGGCGAGACCTTACGGCGTGCTACGGGGGCTTTGCCAGCCGTACTCTTCTGTTGTGGGTCCTTGCGGCGTGTGACGGGGGCTCTGACAGCCGTACCCTTGCCCTGTATCTTTCCCACCACCGCCGCCTTCTCAGCCTCGCCTACGGCAAAACTCTTCGTGAACTTCGCAGTGTCCGGATCTGTTTTGCTCAGCTCCAACGAAGTGGCATGCTCCTGGTCTACGTGGTGGGACATGGAGTACTTCCACACCCACTTTTCAGGGCTGCAAAACAAGCACTTCAGGGGTACGTTAGTGCAAGGTGTAGAAGTCGTGAACTTCGACGCCGCTTTTAGGCCGATAGCAACGAGACTTGTTCGCGAGTCCAACTTGGGCGCAAGAGAACAGTTGGAGTGTATCTGAGGCGCAGCCTTCCCCGTCTTTGCTTCGACAACCCACGTCTTGCACTTCTCCCCAATGTCCCCGCCACAAAAGCCGCACGTGTTGCGCTGCCGTCGGTCCTGTGGGAGCGGCAGTACCATCAACAGAAACACATTCAAAACAAAACGTTGTCATCGTTCCTGCAGGTATGTCCAACTTGAAATATTTGGCAGTCCTTTGAACTCACAGAAACAGAAACAAAGTGCACTTGCTTGCGAGCGTCTTACCTTATCCTGAAGGATGTGTCCCCCCATGTGCTGCAGCAGCAGTTTCGCGGGCACCTCCAAGAAACACAGCGGGCACTCCACTTTCCCACCCACATCCACAGAAGCTGCCGGAACTTCCTCCGCCCCGAGAGCCCCGCCCGCCATGCAAGTGAGGTTGTCATGAAGAGGAAGAGGGGTGACTTGGTTGCGTGGTGGTGGTCGCACGTCAGGAACCGCCGCCCAGCCTTGTACCCTTTCCACTTCAGCTTGAAGCACGTGCTGTGTGGTGATCAACTCGTCCATGCTGAACACGTACGTCTGCTTGCCCATCTCCAACGTCGGGTCCAGTTCCTCGACAAGGGCAAGAGAGCAGCTGTAAGTAGTCGCTGTGTGCAGCTTTCGGTCCTCCCACTCAAACGTCGAACCATCGCCGTCACCTCCGACCAGCCTCATCCTCATTAGCTGCCCTTTGACCACCTGACCATCTGCGGCCTCGCCGCCAGCTGCTGGTGGCGCAGATACGACTAGAACCCCGACACAGTAGCTCACGGGTTGGTGACGTCCTGCGCGAAGCCTGAATAGCGCCGCAAACGGGGAGCCGATCTGCAACGCTGTGCCCGAGTCATCCAAGCAAGTGCTACCCTCGGCCAGGCGTGCGCCTGCCGGCGTCGTGAACGCCCGCACACGTGCGAGCCGATCTCTGGAGGCCTTGCCGGCGTGAGGCCCAGTATACTCTTTAACCGCGGAGGCCTTGAAGATCTATCATTAACGAAAAATAACACCGAAAGATACGCGCCGTGGCCGGCAAACAGCAGGGCACGTGTAAAATAGAGTTCGGGATCAGGTTTGCTTGCAGCTGCGTGTACTGCAACGGTCCATGATTGACTATTCCAACAAGTTGATTCCAACCAAGTTCTACGTTAGACATAATTTGCTTCAGTCGATCGACAAAGCACGCCTTAACACGTTGTGTGCAAGATGGTTGGTGGTGCGGTCACATGGTGTTCACTGGGCGAATATTTGTTGCTTGGCCAAGTTGGGAAAAGAAAAGTCCCTCGCACCTTCTTCGCGCCCACTTGCACAAATGGGCTGTGGGTAGATGAGCTTGACTCTTCTCCCTCCGTGTCCAGCACCTCTCGGAGTTCAGCGTTGTCGGAGTCCCCGCCACCGTCACTTGGCGATGCTGCCTGGCCGACGACACGCTCCTCCTCGTCACATGCGTCGGTGCCGTCTTCGGCCCGCACGCCAGGCATTTCTTTGTTGGTTCTGGAGGGGGGGGTGCGGGAATGGTGGGCAGTTGCATTCAGGACAGTGTGACAAGTATCCGCGACCCTTGATAAACACCAATTGTTAGCAGGCAGAACGTAGACCGCTGACGTTGTTGGAACAAGTCTTGAAACACGGCATGTATTTGTGGTTCCACCTTCTCACGAAACCTAAACTGGCCGCCAAAAACCCTCTACGCCCGAGAAGGCGACGGACGGAATAGAGCCAAATTATAACCAACCGAAGTACGGGAGTACTTACCCGAACGGAAAGAACATGGTGATGCCCTTATAGGTTCAAAGTGTACAGTTTCTGCACTTCGAACTTCTTCTTCCACCGCGTCAGCCTGCCTCGTTGCTGGTGAGGAGTCAACAAATCTAGAGCAAGGTGCTTCAAACTTGAGTCTTCTGGCTCCAACGATGATCGCTGAACCAGATCTGCTCCAAGACGGAAGGGGTGCAGAGGGAACAATCCAATAAAAAAAAAGTGCATGTGTGGTGGAATGAGGGTACGACAGTTAAGTTGTCTTGCTTTCCTAGTTGTGCCTTCCTATTTCGCATTTTTTTTCGCTACGTGGTCTCACCTCTGTAAACCTTACTGCCCTTGATGTCCACACACGGCTCGCACATGCCTCCTGGTTCTTCCACTACTCCAGCACAACCTGGGCTCAGGATGCCGCGGGAGACGGATTCCACGGCGAAAAGAGCCACGCCATTCGTGTCTATTCGAGACTCCCACGACAACCCCTTTTTGACGACACCATGCAAAGCTGCTGGGTAGTGTTGGATAACAGGCTCCCGAACATTCGGACGCAATCCCGCGCAGTGGAGGGGGTTTTGGGCGCGCACCATATCGGTCGAACCACTCTCGTGTGCAGCGTCGGAGAAAGCTCCATCCATTTCGCTGCTCGCGCCCTCACAACCCTCACGCCCGTTCACAACTCCCGTCGCAACCACCTCACCGTCGCTACCCGTACCCGTTCCGCCCTCACGCCCGCCTGCAACTCCCGTCGAGAGCACCTCAACGTCACTGCTTGCGCCCGCTCCGCCTCCACCCCCGCCTGCAACTCCCGTCGCAACCACCTCAGCGTCGCTACCCGCGCTTGTTCCGCCCTCACGCCCGCCTGCAACTCCCGTCGAGAGCACCTCAACGTCACTGCTTGCGCCACCGCTGCTATCCATCACGTCCCTCGACCCCTTCCCGCCGCCCGTAGTGCTCGTCGGTTTAAAAAACCTCAGCATTGTATTCCTCTGACGCTTAGCTTCAGCACCACGCCTGCGGATGTGAGTAAATATTGATTGATTGATCCGCCGTTGAGAGACGGAATAATGATCTAATCGTTCTACTGTTCATACTGTGTCAAGTTGCGTAGTAGGCGACGCATTCGCACACATCGACAAAGCTGCATGCATGCATGCATTGATACTTTGCGCGACATGCGTGCAGCGAGGATGGACAAAGTAACGGGTCTTGCGAGGTCTTGAAATGTTGGTAAGCACAAAGTGAGCAGTCCAAATTACTCGAGTATGCAACTGCGGACACCGACCGCCATCGCCCTCACATGTGTGCGGTCGACCTCTCGTGCTGGTTCACATGAAACTGGGTCAGCCCTTCACCGGAGCCGAAATAGTGCTGGCACGTGGTGCAAACCCAGTCGCCACGAGTATTCTTCTGAGCGATTTTCGCAACAGGCGAACGCGATCTGCTCGCATGCGATTGGCGTGCGGAAAGTGGCAGGCAAGGGCAGGGGACACCGATGTAAAGGCCAGTTCTGCAGAGGCACGAATATCCCCGTGGCACACAGCCTTGTGGGTGGTGCCGGTCTGCATTTCGCGCATTTTTTTTTCTCAAACGTTGTCAAGTTTACGTTGTCACAAGTTGTCATGCTGATCAGCTACCGCTGCGGCTTCTGCCTCTGCTGTTGAGGCTGCCGCTACTGCTTCTTCCAGTTACATTGTATGCAGCACAACACATACGCAGCTGCCGCTGCCAGGTGCACGGGCAGCAGTACAACAACGTTTGGTGTGTGCAACACGACGGCAGTTGCATCGCGAGGGCTCCGCATTCGCGCACTCTTGTTGTTGTGCGTCCAACCTTGGTGTGTTGTTCTTGCTGCTGCTGCTGCTGCTGCGAGGCAGATTATACTAATATGTAACCAAGGCAATCTCACAAACTGATCCTCATTCCTCTACACTCACTCTTCGTGCTTGTGCGAAGCCTCATGCTGCAAGGCGGTGCCCTCGTCGACTCCTGAACCGTCGCCGAAGTTGTGTCCGCAGCGGCAAACAAACTCCATCATGCCATCCGCTCGCTCTCGGCAGACGCGGTTTAGCCAAGCCGTCTTGTCGAAGGGGGTTGTTGATAGGAGTCCCCTCCCCACGGAGACTGTGCTCATCGTGACCGCTCTCCCCAAGCTCTCGCTCTCTCGCTCCTCTGCTACGGACGGTACCGCGGCTGCGGGCTGCGGTACTGTTGAGCAGGGGCTACGTGGATTGTACTACCCCCTGTGTGCCCACTTTATATATAGGATTTACTATAGACTTGTTTATATAGGAAATTGTATGGCGTTTTTTTGGGGGGGGATGGGACCTTCGTACCCCCCCCCCCCCCGGAGGGCCCCAAAAAAAAGTTTTGGGGGTTAGGTGTCGGAAAAAAATTTTTTTGTGCACCCTTGTCAGCACCACACCGAACGAACTCGCGCGTCAAGCGAGTCCGACCCTCTGTCGAGAGGGGCCGGTATCCTATGGAGGCGGTGCCCATCAGCGAGCGAGCGTTGTTGGTGGTTTGGTTGTGGGTATGTATGTGCGGTACACGTTTTTTTCTGCGGGTTTTATGCTAGAGCGTCGGGCGCCGGGATTATATTGCCATTTCTGGGTACAAAATCGAACTCTTCCGGGTACACCCATATAACCAATATCGGTCACACCAGAGGGTCCTAACGCCAGCGGTAGTTGTACCCGATGGAGTTTTCTTCCGAAACGGGTACGATGGTTTTTCGGCCAATCAGCTGACAGCCTGGGGGTGCAAGCGTGTTGATGTCTAAGTGTACCCTAAAGTGGTGATAAAGTACCCGGGTTACCCGTTTCTGGTTATTGGTCAAACTGGGACTACAGCAGTACGGGGTCTGATGTACAACGTCATGCACTGCTGTGCTCAATGATATGCATTATCTTTGTACACTTGGTGCAGACACAGTACCAACCGAGAGCGAATGGCGATGCATATTAATGCACATGAGAGATGTCTGCATAGAGTTCGCGTGGTGCTGCCGACGACGTAGAATACAGCTGCAGTACACCCGGTGTACATCCTGTCGGTAACAAGGAAGTGTCCCGTTCCAGGTTGCACCGAGATTCGTTCCTGCGGTCGACAAGAAACGACGTTGCAAGTTCACCGCTACAACACAGAAAAAGAGATGCAAGGCTTGCGCCCAACGACAATCCGTTCTCACCCTTATTCTTGTCGCCATGGCTGTAGAGCGCCGGCCATGTAACTGTGCTGGCGGTGGCGGTGTATGATATGGCGATGGGTGATTTGCCCCACAAACTTGCCGGGGGCTCCGTGTTAGCTTTATTTTAAACCTTATGGGTGGGGGCATGAGGCTCACACTCGCTGCTGCTGCTGTGCCTGTAATGCCGGGCATTCCCGTGCTCCTCCCCTTCTCTCTGTGGTGATGAGCTTCAACGGCAGACGATCTCCTGGTAACGGTAGTCGAGGTTCGATCTCGATCATCACGCTTCTTTTCGCCCTTCCCAAGTAAGTTTCGCCTGCGGCCGTGCTTCGAGCTTCTGGAGCCCCCCCCCGCCTAATGTCGGGATCGGCCACCGGGTCAACGCTATAAATAGTGCTGTGAGGGCTGTGTAGTGTAGTTGATGTAGCAGTAGCTGCACTGGCCTTGCCCGAGGGGCCTCGGTCTGCGGCGAGACAAGAAGATTGTAGCAGGGCGCTCCGCCGGCGCGATGCAGCCAATCTGTTGTACTCTTTCTAGTTCTCGGCGGATGACATACCTAGCGCACACATGTCATCAAACCAGACGTCTCTTCTTCCTCGCCCTCCACGTGCACACCCAAGCACACACATCACCCCCGTTGGTGACACCATGGTTCTCGACCTGCTGCTACACGTCCGCCGTGTTGTTGGGCATAGTGGAACAGATCCCAAACTCGCGCCTCCTATTGTGGGCCGTAACTACTTAGGAGTTAACCAATGTCGCGCACTAGACTAGTCTATGCATCAGTGTGTACCGCCGTTGCTTAGGTGCTTGCTTCTGTTGGGGCACCCTTCGTGCCTTATGCCAAGCTCTCTGCCCTCCGCTCGCTGGTGACGTGCTTCTAATACGGTTGTTGCTGTTGTGGCAATGAAGATTGTTCCGTGTATACCAACCGAAATCAAAGCATGGAATGAAACCTCGTTACGCGGCGGATATTTGTACTTGTACATAATTTGTACTTGACTGTCCCTGGTACAAAGGGACGCATGCTGTACATACGCACATATGTACAACAGCAGTACCCGCGGTACATGTACACATCACTGACACCTCTCAGCTAACATGCTGAGCAGATGCAACTCCTTTCCTTGGCTTGCAAGACGCATCATTTCGGTGTTAGCTGCTCGGCAATACCCGCTGTCATCAGGCCCTACAACCAAAAAAAAGAGGGGGGGGGGGGGTTAACCCCCTATAGAATGTACTTCAAAGGAAGTATGCATACGACGTTGAACAGAAACGAATGCCCTATTTTACCTTTTACCCTGTTCGTTCTGGGCCGTTCGACGATCCCGGAAACCGTCGACGATCAGCCCCCACACCTGGTTACAGCACGAAGCGTTGCTTTGCCTCTTTCGGTGCGTGCCCGGCAACAGCTGGCGCTGCTTATCTACTCTCATGTTTTTGTGGAGCCTCCCTCAGTCGTACGCGTCGAGCCGTCACCGTGTGTTCCCGCGGCATGTGTGCGTTGACCCCCGCCCCGTGTTCTCTCGTCTGTGACCTCCCTCTGTGGTGGAACTCGTTTGCCGTAGACTCTTGCTGCTGCCGACTCTGGCGGGAGCGTTCTTTGCGCCGATAGGGGTACTGTCCTCGTCCGCTGCGAGGCTGCCTTCGTCGTCGGCGTCGCCTCAGAGGGGAGCAGACCGCACGGTGAGCAAAAGGAAGCGGTAAATACAGTGCGAGGGGGGTCAGTAGTGCCGGTATGCGCCCGCCAGGTTCACCAGTGGCACTTTGCCAGGCACCCAGCACTATTCAGAGAATAAGACGCAGCAAGCTGCGTTTCCCACATTCTGTGTTCCGGGGGGGTATGCTTGATGGTACACGCTGCACAGAATTATCCAACCACGATTGTTGCAAATTTTCCGTTTGTGTCACGCGGTTTCACCAGTGGCGCTATACCGAGCAGTGGCACTATTCAAGTGGCACAATTGAGGGACCCCCACTGTACTCGGAAGAGCTCGACGATGCGTTTGAGCACATCGCTAAAAGTGCTGCTGCGGTCTTTGCTATATTCTGCTGCTGTAGTGTGTTGGCTCATAAAAGCTCATGGAAAAAGGATTACGTTTGATCTTCGTATAAACTAAACAGCAGCAGACGAGAGGTGCGTTCCATTTGTTCATGCTTCTGCTTCTGCTGTGATGTTTTCGTGTGCTCTGTCGTGACCGGGGAGGATCGCATGGTGAGAAGTTGACCATATTCCCAACCCTTTCTACGTTGTTTTTCTCCAAGGCATTGAAAAGAATGTTGCTGTTGAACAGCAAGGGTATTGTTGCTCGTGTACCGTCCCCCTGCCGCACCGCCTTGAGGACGGCTTTTCTCGGATGCCTTGTCGGGTAGATCCAACCCACAAGTATCATACCGTTATTGCACCTTTTTTTCACGGAGAGCGTGGAATCATCCTGCCGTGGACCCGTCGGCTCTCTCCGTTTCTGTCTCTGTGCTTCTCTCTCTCGGTGTCTCTCGGTCTCTCCTTCTCTGTCACACACACAAACACACACGCACTTCCCTCTCTCTCTCTCTCTCTCTCTCTCTCTCTCTCTCTCTCTCTCTCTCTCTCTCTCTCTCTCTCTCTCTCTCTCTCTCTCTCTCTCTCTGTCTCTCTGTCTCTCTGTCTCTCTGTCTCTCTGTCTCTCTGTCTCTCTGTCTGTCTCTCTGTCTCTCTGTCTCTCTGTCTCTCTGTCTCTCTGTCTCTCTGTCTGTCTCTCTGTCTCTCTGTCTCTCTGTCTCTCTCTCTGTCTTTTTCCCTGTCACCCTCACACCCACACTCTCCCGCTCACTCTCTTTCCTCTCTCGTGTTGGCCCACCCCCATCTCATGCCCACGACGCCTCCCAAACAGCAACGACCTCCCCACGCCGGAGGTGTCATCTTCACACTATCGGGAGGCGCAAGCAGCAGCAGCAGCGACAGCTCTAGCGACATGCCTCCGCCCGAGGCGGGGGGCACCGCAGAAGGGGGCTCCGCAGATGGCGCGCCGCTGTTGTCATCGCCT